GAGGCCACGTTTATTTTGGCCCTTGAGCCAAAAGACAAGAACGAGCAAACAAGTCTTGTATGTCCAGTGAATCACTGTATCAGTCCCTTCTCCAATATATGTCCCTCTTTGGGCATTCGGGTTAAACTTTCGAATAACCTTGTATGTTTGTACTAAACGCAGACTTAATGGATCGGTTGGTCTGTCTCAGTTACCTGGTTTATTGTGTATCACCACATCCCGATGGCGTGCTCAAGTTATCAATCATTGGTTTTGTTAAAATCTAGACTTGATTATTTACAGCTCGTCGTAACATAGCTGAAATATTGCTGAACATCAAATAAAAATAAATCCGATAACACCATCATATATGAACATTTTATCTGCTTCTTAAAATGTAACCTAAATATTTGTCATAAAGATGCATAAAATTTGTATATCGAGAATATATATGGTATATTTAGCATGAATTCGACGATCTGGTTTATACGGTTTTGTCAGTGCATACCAATTTAACCAGCAGGAAACTATTTCCTGACATGAATGGGATTGTACGGTGGTTTCAAATTGGGGCAAGAAGATAAATGGGAACATTCATAGGTCTTAACATAAGAACTTACTTACACGTAACATAACTTTGTTTGTATTCTATTTTTATTTCCAGACTATGTTGTTTTGTAAACGGAAATATTTGCCCTCTGATTCAGAATCCAACCAAACTGAAAAAAAGATTAATGATTCCTCTTTACCACTGAGGCTAATATGTTGTATAGCTTAAAAGTAAAAAATTGTGTTTGGACAATGAAATGAAGCTCGTTTCTGGGTCACTTTTCACAAAGAATGAAAACTGTTGGGAAGAAAATTGAGCATGCTATAACTTTTCATCTGTGTTTTTGTTTATTCTACGAGAAATAAATGGGTGTTCTGTTTCTTACAGAGTAATGGGGTTCTTCTAAACAGAATGAACAAGCATGAAATACTCATATACCCCGCCCATATGACATATCCAGTTGTGTGAAAGGCATTATCCCCTGTGAACTATGTTCACTGGACCTTTTTGTAAATGGCTTAATTGTAAGCGCTAAACAAGTTAATACTGGTGTTTCTTGCCATCCTCAATTGATGATAGAACCTAACTCTATCTGTGATAAGTTGTGTTATTGAATGAACAATAATCAGAGAAGTAAAGGAGTTCTTACTTTACTGAGAGATCATTGAGAGTAAGGGTTATATCATGAGGTGTACTGAGAAGTAATTGCGTAAACGGTTTCAGAGTTACGCCCCTGAAACGAATGCTACACGTATTTCAGCCCGTTTCTTGCCAAGGAAACATTCTGAAAAAATCCCCAACAATCAAAAGGCACCAGTTCATCACTAGACCTATATATGTGCTAACCTTGGTGAAGAAATATTGTACGATTTTCAAGATCTGCTTCGGAAACGAGCACTACCGCCATTTTAAATCCAAGTCAAAGTCGTGGCTGTGGAAACTCGAAAATATCTTTTTTTTAAATCCCAAACTATCAAAGGAAACCAGTTTACCACCAGACCTACCTATGTGCCAAGTTTGGGGAAGAAATATGTGGTTGAGACATCTCTCGTGTACGGTGGCCCATAAGGGACATGGAGTCTGTTTTTCAATATTTTGCTATTTCACTTATTTTTATCATAACCTTTTGCAAATTAACACAATTTGTCATACAAATAGGTGATAAATCATGTATAAAAACAACCGAAAACATGGAAAATGTACCTCCAAGTAGCTATTGAATCCGTGAAACGTGAAGCGAAAATGTCAAAAACTAAAACGAAAATGTCAAAAACTAAAGCGAAAATGTCAAAAGCTAAAATGAAAATACAGAAAACTATTTTCACCGCGGTGGAAATATTATCACCGCGTTGGAAGTAGTTTTCTGTATTTTCATTTTAGTTTTCGACATTTTCGCTTTTGTTTTTGACATTTTCGTTTTTGTTTTGGAAATTTTCATTTTCGTTTTGGACATTTTCACTTCACTTTTCAGCGATTCAATACCTTCTTTATACATGATTTAACATATTTGTATGACAAATCGTGTCAGTTTGCAAAAGGTTACGACAACAGTAAGTGAAATATCAAAATATTGAAAAACAGACTCCATGTCCCTTATTGGCCACCGTACTCGTGTTTGTTTTATTTCTGCCACGGAAACGAAACGTGACGGAAAGACGGACGGACAGCACCCATTCATACATCACCCTTCCACTTCGTGGCTGGGGATAATAACTGAAAACGTTGATTAAACTTGTCAGCATTAAATCAAGTTCAAATAACTGCATATTTCATGATATGGTTATCGATAGATTCAATACATATATTAGATCATAATACCAATAAACACTGTGTGTTGTCCTCAAGTCAGGGTGTGACTAAAATACTGTTAACGGGCGTCTTCAAAGAAAGCATTACTTAATGTGTTACAAAAAGATCAGGTTGGATCACGAATGGATGGACACCACGACTGCTTCACTCCATTTAAAATAACTAATCACCACAGCTTTTATTGAGCGCATATCTAAGACAACATGGTTAACCCAAAGTCCCGTAGACCATCGAATATATATCGAATTATCCGTACTTCGAGAAAACCAGTGACGACCAGGACCATAAATAAACATCGTCTGTAACAACGAATGGAGTTGGCCTTAAAGATTTTACACTCAGTCTGTATGAATACGCTCTCAATACAGGCTGTGGGCCTTGGTCATTCGTCAACAGTAACAATCAACGCGGAAATCAACCCTATGGGCTGATCAAGCTGTGTTTAATACAGATACTGGTTTCACTGTTGATGGTTTGGTATTGATATCACATTGCATGGGAGGTAACTCTAGTGAGAATAAGACGATAACAAGAGTATAACCGCAAACGGCGTTTTCTTCTTTGGTCAGCTCAAGCGGATATATAATCCCTTGCCCAGGAGCAGAAAACTGCATATGGGTTTTCGCAAGTGCGTTAAAACCGATTACACACTATTTAATCACTATTAACATTTTATTAGTGCGAAAAAGGGTCCAGATGAGTGTAATGACGATTTATCTGTTCTATACTGCATATATTTCATATGCTTGGCTTTACATTTGCTCGTGGATAGCTCCGTGGTCAAGTGGTAGAGCGTCCGCCCGAAGAGCGGAAGGTGAGGGGTTGGATTCCCGGCCGCGTCATACCAAAAGACGCTAAAAGATGGTACTCCTTGTTACCCTGTCTGTCGCCCGGCATTAAGGGACTAAAACAAGGACTGGTCGGCTCGGAGTCAGCATACTGTGTCTGAGTGGGGTATTCATGTGCAATAATCTCGGACGCGACGTTAAACCCAATTTCACCTAACCTATTAATTTTTGCTTATGATTATGTATACAGCGTCTGTGCGGAGAGCGGAAGGTCGGTTGTTCCATCCCACCCAAGACTAAAAAATGGTCCTTGTTGTTACCCTGCCTGGCGCTCGGGATTGAGGGATAAAACCGGCATACATGCACGTCGCTGTATAAGTGAAATAACGTTGAACGCGACGTTAAACCCCCATTTCATTTCACTTCACCTCACCATTCATGCTGATTTAATTTGAAACTGCAATTCGATTTCAAAAAAAATATATATTCTGATAGATATTGAATGTTAAAACAGAGGTAAAATGACTCTTGTGATTGATCATATTCTCCTTAAATGTGAAATATGCCAATTCCTTTTTCAGCATGAAAATAAACATCCGTGAAAGCAACACCTGCATCACAAGTGGTATCCAAACATATACATGGTCGATTAAACCAAATATCCATTGCTTTGTTTCGCGTACTATTTAGATATTATAAAAACATGTTCATAATCCTATAACGGATGTCTGTTATCCTGTTATATCCGGTCAAGTGGTAGAGCGTCCGCCCGAAGAGCGGAAGGTCCGGGGTTCGATTCCCGGCCGCGTCATACCAAAAGACGTTGAAGAATGGTACTTGTTGTTACCCTGTCTGGAGCTCGGCATTAAGGGGCTAAAACAAGGACTGGTCGGTTCGGAGTCTACTGTATACTGTATACTGTATACTGTGTCTTGGTGGGGTATTCACGTTAAACTACGTCACTGGCTAGCACTATAAATCGGCATCAGTCCGGACTAGTACAAGCAGCCACACACACACACGTGCATGCACGTCGCCATATAAGTGCAATAATCTTGGACGCGACGTTTAACCCCATTTCACCTCACCTCACCTTTACTCGTTAAATATGTAATGTCTCTGAAATCACGAATCTCGAAACGTGGGCGTATGATGTCAATCCTTCTGTATTTTTCTTATTGAGGAAATGTGCACACCGAGGTCGTGACAGGCATATACAGCTATGTACGCCTTAAGGCTACATGCTAATGTAACATGTTGTTAATCCGGGTACAAAAACACACAACTGCGGATACTCGGACATGGAATGAGTCACAGGAATGTTTTAGAATTGAATGTACATTACACGTATTCGCAAAATATGGATCACGCGTATATATGACATTTATTCGTAATTCTTACTCCAGTCTACGCATTTTTCGTGTAATTGCATTACTTGCATGGTTGATGTATGGCGAAGAGAGGTGAGGTGAAATGGGGTTTAACGTCGCGTCCAAGATTATTGCACTTATATAGCGACGTGCATGCACGTGTATGTGTGTGTGTGGCTGCTTGTACTAGTCCGGACTGATGCCGATTTATAGTGCTAGCTCACTGAGATACCATGCCGCAGTTTAACATGAATACCCCACTCAGACACAGTATAATGACTCCGAGCCGACCAGTCCTTGTTTTAGCCCCTTAATGCTGAGCGCCAGACAGGGTAACAACAAGTACCATCTTTTAACGTCTTTTGGTATGAGGCGGCTGGGGATCGAACCCCGTACCTTCCGCTCTCCGGGCGGACGCTCTACCATTAGACCACGGAGGCGGTTATGGCGAAGAGAAAATGTTTGGTCCTTACAACAAATGCGTTAAATTTGATTAAGCTTGATAAGCATTTTATTACATGTACATTGAATATTACATTATCGACGCTTCAGAATATTGGTAGTATACAAGCTACAGACGAAAGGCAATTATTGCATATTTGAGCTTCATTTAAAACATGCATGTCGTGGTATAATACATTAAAGCTGCAATAGTTTTCATGTTTATAATTAAAAAACTAACAGTCTTTCTCAATTTAACAATATGGGTTTTACACACACAACATATTTTCAAATAGTTTGGCTTTAAACAATAAGCAAACAAACAACAAATAGTTTCAAATAATAATAATCTCCAGTCCATGTATAGTTTAACTCATTTTATATTGAAACCCCCATATTGTCATATCATATTTATATCGACGGTAACTTTAAATCTTAAATTTAACAGTTCTTTTTACTCCCTTCACGTGAAAGCCAGGTTATCCTAACATGTTATTTTGAAGGTGACATATTTTTTGTTTGCTTGTATATATCAATGCCCTAAAAGCGTAACTCAATTATTATCTCCAAGTGTCATCAACAGTTTACTGACTACCTTCACTCTTGTATCTTGAAATACTCGTAATATAAAAATGTTACGTTAATCCCACGAACTGCTAGGTGGCAAGGGATGAGATAATGTTTCACTTTTATACAGTTATAATTATTCTTGATTGCTGAAAATCAATACGAAAAGGATACTGATGATAGATATATCATTCATATAAATGCTTGTACGTATCTTGTCGAGAACACATCAAAACACATGCTTATGATATTGTCGGAATCGTACAATAGACAATCGTCCTTATATGTTAGAAACCATCCCTATTGTACCAGATATATTTACTATTTAAACACATTTGACATATATAACGTAACAAACAAAAAAGCAAGCTTGTCTAGAATCATTAAGAATGATCATGATTGCATTATATACATTGTTCACATTGAACATTTGCTTTGGGCAATAGGAATAGGACAATGTTTCAGGAACATAGTTCTACACATCAGTTTCTTTTCAATCCACTGGGCTGAAATAGAAACATGTATAACAATTAAAACTCGAACCATCCTTTATGAAAAAAACCCCGTTAAATATCATATTAAATTGTCCTCAGCTTTAATGAAAGGGCTCAAAGCTTTATTCATGTTAGACATGGATTGTTGTGTGACTCATGTGAGTAGGCCTCTGTCACAGAAATGGCTTACACATTAACTTTCCGTCAAGTTGAACGATCAAATTATCTCTATCAATTTTTCTTAGCATTATAAAATGTCCCTTTTCATTGAGAATTTCTTTTTAAATAATTGTAGTTGTCAGGACTCAAATGGTGGTCAAGTGTCAACAGTAGTATTATCTTTCAATACGACCGCCTCCTTGGTCTAGTGGTAGAGCGTCCGCCCAGGGAGAGCGGAACGTCCGGGGTTCGATCCCCAGCCGCGTCATACCAACGTTAAAAGATGGTACATGTGCTTGTTGTTACCCTATCTGGCGCTCGGCATTAAAGGGCTAAAACAAGGACTGGTCGGCTCGGAGTCAGTATACTGTGTCTGAGTGGTGTATTCATGTTAAACTGCGGCATGGTATCTCAGTGTGCTAGCACCATAAATCGGCATCAGTCCGGACTAGTACAATAAGCCACACACACACATACACGTGCATGCACGTCGCTATATAAGTGCAATATTCTCGGACGCGACGTTAAATCCAATTTCACCTCAACTCACCTATCTTTCAATACATTTTGGAAGCTAAATAAATTGCGAGAAAACGTGCAAACCTATTTGAATTACCAGATTAAATAGTGTTGGTATACTTAAAATACCACCAACAGATCCCACTAATGACCAACTTCTGTCTTTAAATCTTCTTCACTTAACAGAATGGATAGTGACCTCGAATACATTTACATATACGCTATATACTTACATCAAACGTTCAACGTCCATTTGTTCTGTTAGACCGCCACGCCGAATACTGAAATCGAGTAACAAATAGGTATCACAACTATTTGGCACAACAACAAAGGTATTACAATAACATTACATGCTGATACCCGTATCTTACACATTTTGAAGTTTAGATATACCTTTTTTACTGTACGAATGATAATATTTATTCTCAAAGTGAGTGAGTAAGGTTGGCAGTGTCTCAGTTATATCACGGCATGTCAGATTGATGTGGGAGGATAGCCCGCTTTTGAAGTGATGCACGTGTTAGCTTACCCTTGTGATGAAACGGATATGATACTTACAAACCAAGAAACATGACCAAGGAACAAGAATTTGAAGCCTCAATCATAGTTTTCTGCAGCTGACATGCGTAAGGGATATAACTCTGTACAAAGAACTGCTGCACCTTAGACATCTGGCCCCCATCTCAGAGTTGTGATGAGGTGAAATGTAGTGCATGATTTTTGCACTACATAGCGATGTGCATGCATGTGGATATGCGTGCTTCCGTGCGTGCCTGCGCGTGTGTGTGAGAGAGAGTGGCTGCTTGTACTACCCCGAATTAATGATGGTTTTATAACGCTAAACCACTGAGATATCATGCCACAGTTTAACATGGATACCCTACTTAGAAACACTATATGTACCCCGAGCCGACCCTTAATGCCGAGCGGAAAGCAGGGTAATGAGCAAGTGCAATCTTTTAACGTCTTTTGGTATGAAGTGGTCGCGGATCGAATCCCCGATCTGGCAGACGCTCTATCCACGAAGCCATGGAGGCGGTCCAACCTCTCCAACAATGTAATAACGTAAATGATTTTGACGTACTTTCTTGTACCATCTCTTGAGAGAAGTCCTGTCTGGGATGTATTTGCTGACCGTTGTTTTTGCATTCTGGACATAAGGCTGGACATCTGGTAATCTGTCCAGAGACCGAAGGGGTATTGGCAGGCATAATTCTATCTGGATCTCTCCACGTTCTGGGTCCCAGACAGTGATTTTGGGGTTGTACATTGTGAGAGCATCACGTGTGTAATTCGTGAACTCCTGCTTGACAAGGTCCGGGATCTTGTGCAGGTGCTTCTCCAGGATGGTTCCGCCCTTTGTATATCACAAACAAACCCAATATTGCAAAAGGTATAGTTATGCAACCCCATGATAAACACTATTTCAATAAGAATACAACATTTCTGCTGAATGATGAGAACAGACACCTGTTTGGATTTCAGTGTACAGCTGTTCGAAACGGTCAAATAACACTACAACTGTAAATCTCGATCACAAAAAAACATATTATACCGTAGACATGAAACAGGGACAAGTGGTCACGAAGTATAAAAAGTTGTTTGTACAGAAATTCGACGATTCCCGAACACGTGCAACACATTTGTAGCTACACGAGGCTGTTTACGCACCCATGAAAAAGACTTACTTCTTCATATACTTTGTTAGTGAAAGAGAACAGCATCTGTAAATCGCTTCGTTGCTCAGCATTTATCAGATGAGAACTAATCATGTCTCCCGAATTCATGAGCATATCCTTGAAGCTGCCGTACGTCTTCACTGTGGTACTGTAGAGGCGGTCCATGTAGGGAGCTATAGCATTAGATATCTCAAGCCTGCTGTCTACGATGTGTGGTAGGTCCACGATCGTGTTTGCTGTCGCTGTGAATACACATACAAGGTTTCGTTAATATTATGTAATATATTTAGTCAATCAGGCTTCATTGTTAATTACAATCCACCTACAATGAGCAGAGGCTGCAATAGCAAGGTTAGGGTAGCAAATGCCAAATCAACAAGACTCGCCGCAAACTATTTTGCATTACGGTGTCCACAGTCTATGGTGGATTCAATCCCAAAGAACGCATTGTAGGGATCTTTTTGATCACTACAATTATTTCGTGCTTTGGTCGAGGCTACAGCTAGTGGCGGCTAGTTTTCAAATCATCGTCCGCTCCGATTACCTCCATGTTTACACCTATATCTGACAAGACCAAGTGTAACCTTTTCGTTTTATATCACACATGGAATTTCTGTGGTGCTGTGCCCTTGTTGACAAATTGTAATATCAAAAGTCATGTCACCAGCCGAGATTGCAAAAGGGGCGTAGATGTGAGATCCATAACGAATGTTCTTCACAAAGTTTCGATGTTTCCTTTGTGCATATTAATATTGCTTACGCAAATATTTGCTTTATTCCCAAAACATGTTTTCATAATAATTCTACATCCTCTTTATTTTCAACCAGAACTCAACACGGGTCTGTCACTTAAGTCAATCTGCACGGGTTTTCAAATCTGTTGCCTCACTTGCAAGCTCTCAGAGGGGCGGGGCCAAGGGATGTTACGTGGCACTGCGTATTATATCAAGATCCTGTTAATTCAATTCGTTAATTAAAATTAATTAGTGAAATATTGATATTCCAAATCTCTCATTGCAGAAGCCTTGTACAATATCCTTGTATTGTATGACATCTTTACCAGTTGCTTTCCTTTGCACAATATTGTAGTGGTGCTGACAGATGTCCCACATTTTTCGGATCATGTCATCTAATCTTGATATCATCTCTACAGCATCTTCAACTGTTGTGTCTACCTTCTCCTGAAACAAGCAAATCGCGAATGGTCCATTTTCAAGACGACAAGGACGAACATCTTGTGCTGATAATGTGAAATTAATAGTTATATTTCTGGTAATAAGGGGCCGAGCATTTGTAATTCGGGGAGAGGGGGGTGGGGGTGGTAAATGTCATGGTATGGATTAAATCGATAAAAATAAATTGTGACCAACAATCTGACTAACATTATTATGCTTCATGCCGTTGAAATAAAATAGATATATGCCTGCCACAAAAGTTACATTGCTGCATCGTATTTTCCTTTAATAAAGAATAAGGTTCATAGTTTTAGATAGCTGAAAAATATCGAATCTTAATACAAAATATACGGGCATAAACCGGAAACCAAATTAAGACACATGGCTCTTGGTTTAAAACAAACCCGGGACGCAAAAGACTACATGTCTCCCTCGTGATATTGCTACAACTTATAATTTTCCATAGCTTAAACTGATGTTATTTGAATTCACTTTCTTTGTGTGAGAGGAAATGTTTACTGACGTTGAACAAACACATTTCTGCAGGATACCTTTGCAAGGACAACCCAGTCGTTCAAGAGGTGGTCATAGAACTCTTTCACATTCAAGTCATTGGCATTCTGTATGTGTTCTGTCATTGATCTAGTGCATCGAATGAATCTTCTGAAAAGAGTCTTTGCAAGGTGATTGTACAGCTTCCTGCAAAACATAAAAGCATAGATTTTTCTTTGTCGTTGATCACCGCACTCGGCCATATTCCAGTTGTATGACAGCTGGCGATAAATAATCGAGTCTGGACCAGATAATCCTTTGATCGATATTGTGAGCAACGATCCACGCTGTCGGAGTACAACGACAGGCAATCAACCAAGATCCATTAGGTCGCCTCTTATGACCAGTATACGTTGGTCGGGACCAATTCTAACCTGGAAACACTACGGACGAAGAATTAAATGTTCTAAGGAATTGGTAATTGCTTATGTACTTACTCTGCCGCTTCGGAATAGTTCTCCATGTCTGCCATGTAGAAGTCATTACGTTTGTACATGCTCCTGATATCCTTCCTGATAGAGTCCAGCTGTTTCTCTATGATAGCCATTTCTGACTCCAGCAGGTCTAGGTAGGGAGACAGTTCCTCCTTAGTGGCTTGTGCAATCCGATGGTACTTGCTTGACAATTCCTCTCCAATAGACTCGTACACAGAGTCTAAAGTGGTCTTTGCATTTTGTCCATTCCTTTCCACTACCCTAGTCAAGTAAGCCTGTTTAACACAAATCATTCTTATTGGCGAGATTATATAGCGCCTTTACACGTATGTAGCTTTCAATATGTTCACTTATGTAAGCACTTTAAAACGTTCCTGTGTTTTATACCTGAACATCGGCGATCATCTGTGGCCTCCAGGATATCCTGGCATGGAGAAGACATGATGTGTTGAGTCTGAGGGCAACTATACTGTCAGAGACTCTATTTGACTCCTCCCGATGATAAACCTGAGCCTGCATGGCGCTTGAGTTCATATATCTGGCATCTACGTGAAGTATCCTCCCAGGATTATCTATTCGAGGAAATCTTTGGAGTGAGTGAAGGAATGAGCTTGATCATACATTTCATAAAACAGCCAGTTTGACATTTGCACATATAGTAATGCACGTCGCATTAAGCAGTTTCAAGAAGAAGAGGATTTATGGAAATCAACATTTTCATTTTGAGGAACATAAACATAATAGAGAAGATGACATCTATAAATACTCTTAATTAAGTGTATCACTTCTAAATGTCATTTAAAGACTTGATACATGAACATGGAGATGATGCAGTAATATTTGTTCCTCATAATATAGAAGGTGATATCTATAAATTGTTTTCCTTTTGTGTATCACTTCTAAATGCCATTCATAGTGCTCCTCATAATAAAGAAGTTGACATCCATAAATTCTCTCCCGTATTTATTCGTTGTTGTAAAAAAAAGGTACCACAGACTACCTAGATCAAAACGTGTTTCAAACTCCACCGCCTTCCAAGATGTCAGTACAGTGGCGAGTGTCCTGTCGTTGATCACTATATTGAAGGGGTTCTCTCCCATTACACCATAGGCTTCCAGATGCTTAATTGGGCATTGCATCTACAACAAATCATGGTGTAAATTGGATGTACATCGGATGCATGTATGTGTAAATAAATGAGACAAAACCCTTTCCATATTCAAAGGCAAAGTCTATTTTCGATTCCGACTATATCATGAGCATGTGTTGTTGAATCCCTATCAAATACTGATGACACCAGGTAATCGCGAAAAAGTGAGCGTATCCTGTCCCACCGGTGGCATCCTTCAGAAACACATGCAAAGGCAAGTCAATTGTTCACAACAACACGACAACGTCGGGTACAAGGTAAAATATTATTCAATATTAGAATGGTACCCATTTTGCTTATGTTGGGTAAAGTATCTTTTCGTGGATTTTTAGTGCAGTATATTCCACGTGTTTATTTTTCCCAGCTTGTTTGTAAATCCAAAAGAGTATTCATTTCTTTCATCCATATAAAGATGGACCAAAAAGAGTGTAATCACAAAAAAGGTAGAGCACTCACTTTTAGCTTTAATATTTGCATTGCTGTGTTCAACTGTCCTTCGAGAGCAAAGTTCTTTCTTTCTCTCCTGGTTGTCAGGTAGGCAATATCCATTCCAGCAGATAATTTCTCACTGGAGCTACCGATGTGGGATGTAAGTTGGATGTCCATATCTGTGTATGGGTGCCTTATGCCAACCACAAAACTGTAGTTGGTGTTAACATTGCCGTTGGAAATGTCATTCATGATAGCTGTGAGGGTGAGGGTCTTTCGGGAGTCCCCGGAGTAGGACAGTTGTGTTTTTCCATTGAAGACGGTCCTGCCATCATTCAGCAGCATGGCCGTGTCAAGCTGGATGTTCTGAAGATTATTAACAACAAATCGAATATGTTCTAATTGAGGATATAGAGCATTAATGTTTACTGTTTATGATGGCATTTCCTCTTGATAATGAGATCAAAGCACCAATTTGAATACAATCGAAACAAACTTTATTGAGCATGTTGATTCTATTTTAAATGTTCAGTAGTACATAGAATAAGTGACATGCTTTTCTCACCTTGCCAATGGAAGGAAGTCTGAGAGAGAGATCTGCCTGCTTGTTTTTGTCATCCGGTGTAAAGACTGCTTTCATGGCAATCTTCTTTGTGTCATCTTTGTCTGCATCCCAGGAGAAGGCTCCATCAACAGTTTGGCTTGAACCTGTCTGACTGTAAAACCCATCCATTTGGAGACTTCTCAGAGGGGATCCCACTTTGAGGGAGCCATCACAAATCTTGCTGTTGCGACGGCTACGGTCCAAAACATTCACATCATAGAAAAGTTTGTGGCCTGCAACTTCATTCCAAATGAATTCTCCATGACTCCATGTCTGAAGCCGTGAACTGAGGACAGTTCCAATGATACCAACAGTATGGGATGGATGGATAAAGTTCAATGTCAGGTCTTTGTTCAAAAGAGCCTGATTCTTTCTGTCCATCAGTTTTGCTTGGACCTGAAAGTTGCTATCAGGGTTGTTTCTGTTCCAGTTTAACATCATTTCTCCACCAAGCTTTCGTAGTGTTCCAGGAACGAGAACATGTGTGAGTAATGATTCATATGTTGATTCAGCAACCCGAATTAAACCTTTTGCTCTCACATTTTCTAAGACGCCTTCTTTTGAGAGCACAATTGTAATGTTGCGAAACGTATACACATCTGAGTCAATAACTACACTTCCATGGAATTTGTTTGTGCTAAAGGTACTATAAACATTGGCAGCAATATATTTACTCCCATTACTTTCTAACTTCAGGGCGGCTTCAAGACTTCCATCAACAATAAAGTGATGATAATCCAAAATACAATTTTCAAAACCTACCAAAGGCACATTTGTCTCAACTGTGACTGTAACATTTCGCACGGAGGGACTTCTAAATGACAGTTTTACAAGATCTCGGCCCTTAATTTCTTTAGATTTGAAAAATAAATTTATGTCAACAAATGAATACAGGACAAAATCTGAACTTAGAGTCAGTTGTTCCCCTTTACTGTTTAAGAGCGTTATTTCATTCTTTAAAGTCTTGTAACCCTTACAACGACTAGAAAAGAGAATGTGTTGCCTCTCATAACCAGTAAATGGAGTTATCAGTTCGACTTTCACTAATGTCTTTTCCTTTGACGGGACATGTACTGTAACTATAAATGTAATGACTTGGTCGTCTCTGTAGCGAATGTTTATTTGTTCAAATGGATGTTTTCCACTTTCGGTTATGTGATCAAATGTAAACCCAATGTTTGTGAAGTTCTCAGCAGGAGTCCAAATTGTCAGATGTGTGTGAAATCCATCCCTCCAGCGAAATACAAACTCAGTCCCTATTGTTTGATTATTTATCTTGAAAGTACTTGTGGCATTAAGTACCCGATTAGCTTGTGTAATGTTAAAAGACCCTTCCATTAATTCGTAACCATATAAATTGGTATGCAAGGTTATATTCCCCACTTTCCGGCGGCACGTTTTAGTGGTGGAATATAGTGTAATCACTATGTCATCAATTCTTATGTCCATTTTCCCATAGTAATATGATCCGTTTCTAAGGCAACTAAGTACTACTTTACTTGTTCCAAATTTTTCAAATGGCGTTTTTGCAAGAAATGTTACCGATGTATTAGTCCAGATGGAGTCTATTATAATTTGCTTGTGGTTCCCATACATGAATGTAGTATTTCCATACATTTTGTCTCTCAAAATAAGTCCATCAAATCGAAATGAAAATATTTCAAAATTTCTAAATGGTGTCGTGAGTTCTATCAAACTTAAACAGTACTGTCTGCTGTTAACAGGGTATAATCTGTATCTAGTTCTGTTGTTGGTCATGCTAAATGTTATATCTTTGGCATCCATGTAACGGAGCGTTGCATAAACATTTCTCCAGTCTTTGTAATGTTGGTAAGATAGTCCTGTTTGACGGAAATCTTGGAATGGTGTTCTAAATTTCAGAACCACTTTCGTTCTGTCTCCTTCTTTGACACCAACAACCATACCTTCAAAGGTAGAATCTTCCAATGTGTATAAAGCACTGGTATTGAGTGTTGTTGGAGTTATTTCAAAGTTAAAAAACACCTTAAGTACTTGCATACTCTTGTTATTCGATGTAAATAGCACTCTCATTTTATGTCCATGTTTGTAGACAATCTGCACTAAATTCGAATATCCAAACATTTCGATTTCAGTTTGGCCTTGACTGTTGTTTAAAGGACCAGTATGGGTAAACGATACTACGTTGTTTCCAGATGAAGTCTTCAGTGTTATAGCTAGTCTAACGATTGTCAAATTTGCAAGACTGAAGCTGAACAAGGCCCTTTGGTTGAAACCATAAATGGCTTCAGCAGTCAAAGCAGCTTCAGATTTGCCAAATGAATGCTGATACTTTACAGTATTGCTTTCAAATCCTTCGAAAGGTGTTGATATCTCACCCTCAAAATCGACGTGAACTAGGTCGTTGTATAAGAATGAAATTGCTCCTTTTATTTGTTTCCTCTCATCATATGATAGGCTTCCTTTCGTTTTAAAATTGACAATGCCTCCAACATGGTGAAGATATAATTCATACACCCTGTCACCGTTGGATGGTGATGAAAATACTCCATTGGCTGACAATTCCAATCCATTATGTGTATTTGATGGGATCTTTAACTCAGCTGCATATGTGATCGTATTTTCTTTACGTCCCGAGGAAAATGATCCAACTAAAGAAGCCATCTGTGTTTCATGGTCAAGGCGTACTTCAGCATTTAGATTTTTCAGTTGGTGAAGCGGTGTCTTGATTTCAACAAGTGCTGTGGTCTCTTTTGCGTTTCTTGTGAACCCACACTCAACCGAAGTAGATACTGTTTTATTCTTTAAGGAACCACCTGTATATTTCCTGAGGTTTGCTCCAAGTTCAGATTCCATTGTGTGCGAGTTTGAATTGTATTTACCTTGAATGTCGAAACTGACATCCTGAAATACAATCAGTAACTTCAGTGACTTGATTTTCTTCAAGGAGCTACAAAATATTACTCCCGAATGTGAGCAATTATGTTTGATGAAATGTCATGAATCCTGTATTTAACATTAGACAAACGAATACGACACGGGTTAGATTTCAAAAGACGCTATTAGATGGTGACCTCACACCCACTGATAATTGGTAGACAGGGAGCCATTACAATTCTTCCACATCAACACTGACAGCCCGACCAACCCACAAATAAAAGAACCACAGCTTAAAAGTACAGCAAGCAAGGTCATAACAGTTTATCCGTGGAGAAAAAGTCACACATAGTGGAGAAACATTCTTAACAATTATTTTATAATCTTGGAATAAAAGAATATTCCCGCATTGGAACAATTGAACGATTTTGTATCATAAGAATTTACGTAAACAGAGCCATTTGAGTCTAAGAGTCTAAGGGTATATAATCATGTCCACTTTATTTCGCTAGCAAACTGAAATGATCATTGAACAGCCATAGTCTTACCATTGGACCAATCCCAGTCTTGAGTTTGTATTTGATATTCACTGCCCTTTTGTTCAAATGATGGTCTACTGACGCAGATCCCGTGATGTGTCTGTCAGGGTTTCCAATCTTCATCCCATACTTTACTGTGACAACTGCTTTGGTATGTCTCGTGTTGTGTGAGAGGTCACTTTTCAGAAATACGTTCAGATTTGGGTGCTGTTGGTTCGTATAGCCCCTGTGAAAGAGAAAAGCATAAACGTAAAGACTTTCCTGCAAATTACCTGCAACACAAATCCTGTATGCATGACATATTTGTTGTACCGCAATCAGTATTATTCTAACGTTCGTATTTGTGTTCGTGGCCTGTAAGTAACCCTGTCTGAGCCAGACAAACAAGTACACATATCCACGCCACCAGGGTACAGAGAACAGACAACCGATCGAATGATGACACATTATGAATGACATCACCTAAGTTTATAAGTTCAGCTCAAACATATCGAGCAACGTCCCACGCCGTCAGGATATGATGATAAGCAATCACCAAGTGATCAAGCGTGATCATTCAATCCATTTGTGATTATTACTACGAATCAGGCTTAGTGGCCGAAGTACATGTCTACTACCGAGAACAGACAACCGATCGACTGACGACAGATTATGAATGACTTCACATAAGTTTATAAGTTCAGGTAAAATTGGTTTGTCATAAACGGTACTGAAAATGCTTTCACTTACATATGGAACATATACTTCCAGCGAGTTTTTGTGTTGTGATCTGCAAGCTTTGACCTGAACGTATGTTTGTTGTTCCATCCGCTATAGGCTTTGGGAAGTTTGTACTCCAGGATGATGGTAGGGTTGACTGTTTTCTTCGTACCTTCCATATTGCCTGTGACCTTGGCATCCAGGACTTCAGATCTCACTATTAGTTTTGCCGAGTGTTTTGTCTTTTTACCAGATATTTCGTACATATCACCTGTTAAAAACATCTCATCTTAGACGTCTGCATACTTCTCATTAAGTATATATAGCATGTACATATTTGGAAAAGACTAATGATACTGTTTGCCTTACATCTGCACTATTAACAATTTTCCAAACCATATTAACAGTTCATTGTAGTATTCAGATCAATATTGATGTATATTATGAATGTCAAGGTTTTCTGTTGTGAGATGTGAAATATTAACCACAGACTATAATGATTTGAGAACAGATCATGATGCTCACATTGAAAAGTAATTGGCTTTCTTAGAAGCTTGTGAACATCCAAAGTTACTCCTCCCTGAAGTGATTTGCTCTCCTTATATTCCCATTCCCCCTTGAGTGAGACAAGCTCAAGTTTTGGGGTCTTCACCATCAGTGTAGGGATGACCTTGATGATGGACTCCTTCCTGCCACTTTTCTGGTACATCCAACCAGCCTCGAGAACGTAGTCCTGCTTTGAAGCGAGGCTGAAAGTACCCTTTAGACTCTTCTCAATTTTAGAGTTCATCAAGGAGGCTGTACAAAGAAATTGATGTAAAAGTAAACCTCATTATCATAGTATAGTGTGTGTTCTGGTACAGATGTGCTACAACTCAATAAAACATCCTTAGAGAATGTCAAGGTTAGGAACGTACTGTTAGATCTATGATTGGTTCATGTGTTCTAATGTGTTTAACTGTCAGCATACTTATGAAGGAGTGGTTATTGGAAAAGAAGATTCTACTTGCATTTGAAGCTCACTGCATTCTTTGTTAACCCTTTCAGCGCAAACGCAACATTGGCTTTCTTGTTTGCTTCAACCTCTACTGTTCCGCTGAGCAGGATGACCTTTCCCCCTGGACGTCTGATCTCCAGTCGAGGAATATAGGTTACAGATGATCTTTTTCTCTTTATACCAACTTCACTGGTGACAATATATTCTGATGATTCATCAACAGTCAAATGGCCTTGCAAGCCAATATCTTTCTTCTCAAAGGTCATTGAACCTGTGGTATAATACATAAATGATAACAATACTCAGAAAATCTTTATCTTTTCCAATCAATATTATATATTGAATATAGATATCGATGAAAATCAATTTTATTTATATATACATATACTTATACATAGTGAGGAATATCAGTTTTTGTTTGTTTGTTGTTTAACACCGCAATGTTCCATCTATTTGACGGCGCTCTGTAAATACTCGAATCTGGAGCAGACAATCCAGTCATTGGCATCATGACCATCGATCTACGAAAATGGGATACGATTGCATGCATCAACCACCCGATCCGATCAACTTCATCTCCTCATGTTTATGGAACATTAATATCGAGCTTTTCATAGTTGTACAAGTCTAAGTCATATCATTGTAAAATGAATAATATTATCTGTTGAAAAATCAAACTGCCTTTAAGAGTTGCTTTCTTCCAGGGGGTCAATGCATTCATCTCAAAATCTTTGGTTTTCTTCTTCAAAGTAAATGACACGTCAATTGTGCGGTCAGTTCTGGATCCAGGTGTGTTCAGGATGAACTGTACAAACGTGTTTTGCTTAGTCTGTAAACATTGAATTAGAACAATAGTCTAGCATATCATATTAACATGATGGACGTTAACTTATATGTTACCTTTGAGTCCTTGGCACCCATGGTTTGTTCATAAGAGTCGTTTTGGACATACATCATATTGAAAGCCTCAAAATATGAGACTTTATTTTCTTGAATTCTCAACAACCGTGGTGTAGATCAATATTAATAGCTTGTAAAGTTAACCTACCCCTATTTGTTTAGCCATGAGCTTGTATCCAGTGTGTGTATCCCTCTTGTAAAGAACGAGGCTTTGGGAGAAGGGCCCTGTGAAGGGGAAGTATGGAGCATCATCCACCATGGAAGCATTAGGCCACTGGAACTCATTACAGAGCTCAAGGCCGGTAATGGTGGCAAGTCTGGCACCTGTGCACAGTTTCAGCTTCTTCCTGTTGCCTGAGACCAAGTCTTGTTTCTTCTCCTGATCACCATGAATGCTGAAGAACTCTGTGCTGTAGAATATGGATTGAGATATTAATCCAAACGGAAAGTTAAAAAAATTGTTTTGAATGATTTATAGTTTCAAAAATAGAAGTGATAAAACCGATTCCATGTTCATTACAAATCTCTGCTAAATCTCTTCTAAAGAATGTCTGTGGAAATATGAATCTGTGAACTAAAGAAGTGCATTTATGGAAAATGCTTTGATGTGCGTAATCTATATTTTTATTAAACATCAATAAATATAATAAATACTGAAGTTGCATTATGATATTGGCAGATCTTGTTATTTACACTAAAAACACTGGCTTCAAAATAATAATGACCAGAAAACTAGGGGTCTTGTGAATACGAAAATTAAATAAATATGTATAAGAATAAATCGAGAAATGGTACTCTGTGTACTCCGTTCAATGTAATATGTTGTTCCGACCTGACATCCAGGATTTCCATTTTCTCCTGTGGAAGGTCAATGTCGACACTAAGAATCTTTCCTCGGTTGAGTTCAACACGCCCTTTCAAGGCAGTGCTGGAATGCCAGGTGTTGACAACACTAAGACCGGTTTTGGTGACAAAGGCATCCATGCTCATAGTGCCAACAATCGTAATAGTTCCACTGGAAAAGATTGTCAAATCATAGAAGTACAACTGTAAAAATAATGTCCCTTACTTAGGCACGAAATTAAAACAAATATTTCAAATATCATTAAAGTACCTTGGCTTCATGATTCCATCAATGAGGAGACTCCTAGGCGAAGCCATCATGTTTCGGAGATCCACTCCCCCTGAGGCCTGAAGGTCTATGGTGCCTGTTCCATTGACGTTGATATTTAGGGGGAGTCCGGAGCTGGTGGGGATGATCATGCTGCTGTCCAAGATCATCATACTCTGAGTGAAAGAGTAGTCTTGTTTCTTGGACATCAACTCCAGAAAGTTGAAGTTCTTGACAGAAGCAATGGGAAGAGCGATCACCTTGTCTTGTGGTAACACCAGATCTCTGAGTCTTGTAGTTAAGTTTCTGAAGGACTTTGGTGGTGGCACCGCTAGTGGCCCTGGAGAAAGGTCTGAATGTGTGGGTCTCCCGGGTGAGAGCACTCTTGAGGAGTCCATTCTTGTCCAGTTCCTGTTCACATTCGTGTGTACTCTTCATGAGGGGCAGAGACTGGATCTCTGAAGGAACTCTGTACTGCATGCCATGGATGGAACTGTGATAACCATTACGATCAGTGCAACCAAGGAGATCTTTTTTTTTTTTTATTGTGGTAGAAAACCAGCCTCGAATCACTTTGTAGTCGGTATGACATTCACCCGTGACATCACGCTGTAAATACGTAAGTCTTTATTAGGGATGTACTATATATACTTGAATTACTTGATGTACTGCATTTGGTACATAAGTTCAAATATCAAGAATTCACGCTGATACTATGGATAGTTGTCAAATAATGCCTAAAATGACAAAATAATGATAATCACCACCTTTAATCATGCCCCGTTATCATCATCATCGTTATCTTCATCATCAACCGTCCTTGTGTGTGTTTGTGTGTTTGTGTGTGCGTGCGTGCGTGCGTGAGTGCGTGCGTGCGTGCGTGCGTGCGTGTGTGTGAATTACTAATGAACTTCTTTTGAACATGTATCCGTCGTACTATCGGTCGGAGTTCAAACATAAAAAAAATCTACGATGATAAAACTTTGACTATGGACGGCTGTCAAATAATGATTTAAAATGACAAAATATTGATAATCGACACCTCTAGGAAGTATTAGTGCTGATTAGTTTATTGCCACATTATCACCATAATCGTCGTCATCTTCATCATCAACCGTCTTTAAACTTCTAACACAATATGACAATCATCTTAACCCAGGAATGTGGACGCATTAGGTCGTGTCTTCATTCTGAGAGACTCCACCATAAACATTTCTTGAAATAATACATACATCTCTGACCATGCTATGAGCAACTGATTTGTTTGTTGTCAAATAACACCACATTTTCATTTCATTGACATATTTACTTCAAAGACACTCTGATCTCGATCCAGGCTATCCATACTGTTCTGGACAGCAGTGAGAAGACCTCTCTTGATGTTGAGAGCCCACGTGGTTTCACCTTCAGCTGGACACAGCTCCTCTACCACGCCATCTTGGAAAGAGAACCGAAGTGGAGATCGTTCCAGATTCCTCTTGAATTCCCCAGTTTCGTCAGCATTTTCCACTGGGTTAGTCGAGGGATCAGATCGGTACACTTTGACATCGCGGAGCTGCGGAGAGGACATACCAAAAATGTTCAGTCGTTACAGTTTTGAACTTTTTTTATGTGTTTTATGTTGTTATGTATATTTGTTATGCACAAGTTACTTACCCTAAGAGCCATTTCGCACTTCGACAGCACCTCGATGTCAGCAATTGCCCGGAAACCAAGAGACGCTCGATTGTTTGTAGCTCCCTCCATGGACGTCTGCGTTTGAACGTTGTAATCGAACACATACGTCGTCCCGGGGACGTATATGAATTTAGAAGTGCCTGGCGATAGATAAAGCTACTGCAACTATTTTCTTTAACTGATGAATAGGAACAGCTAATGGAGGCTTAAGAGCACGGATGGCCCTGTTCTCTAACTCACCTTTGCAGATTCATGTTCCGAAGTTCGGTAGCATTTCCAGTTCGGGGATCCATGTTAAACCGCGGCATTATATTTCAGGAAGCGTGCACTATAAAACTGGCATTGTCTAGACGAGGACAAGCAGCTACACACATACATATGCATGCACGTTGCTACATAAGTGAACTAATCTTGAACTGTATGTGACACCCTATTTCACCTCATCACTCCAATCAAGTTATGAATAAAACAATTAAATACATTACGACTTAAAATGCCTTAAGAAAGAATATGAACTAGAGGATGATTTGCTGTGCACAGTGAGACCCGATTTAGTCCGGAAATCCTGGCTCCTGAACGAGCTCTGTAGGGAGCGTCTATACTAACTATTAATTACTCGACATTTTATTGTGTTTATCACATTCCTTCTCTGTTTTCAAGTGTATGAGGTAAAGGTAGGCCGTATAACCTAGCAGGCCTCCCAAAAGAATAACACGTCAACTCACCTGTGCATATTCTGGCACATTTCCCGAATCCTTTTGCTCGCTGATTGAAGATTGTACCTTTAAACAAACATGACAAACTTTCATTTTAATCCACACTTACTTCAACAAGCAACTGCATTTTGGTATTCGACAGACAACTATTTGCTTTTGAAAAACGGACAAGTAATTGGTCAGAAACATACAAGTAACTTATACGTACAAGTAATTGTTCCGACGGGTACAAATATACGGAAACGCTTTGAAGCGTATATTCGATTAGGCATGAGATAATCAAACACAACATTATGGTCTTAGGGGTTCGAATGTTGATGTGTTTGGTGATGGACTTGAGCAACAAAACTCATCTTTTGTTTATGCGTTTTCAGAGTGCTTCAATCTATATGAATTTGTCACGATTGTTCACAAAATATAAGGTGTGGTTGGTGTTGGAGAGGGGTGGTAAGGGGTGGCGTCAAATCACCAAAATGAAGTTAATTAGAACGTGACTATTACGTATTTGGAAGCTGGCAGCAACACGGTAAGGTCTAGATTTCTGACAGCGACTCGGACGCTGATAATGATAGGTTCATATCTCTCAGTGGCGGTTATCGTGCTGCCGTATCTCTTGTATCAAACACGTGTTCGCCGTGTGAAAATACACAGTGACAAGCAATATTTAAATCTCATGGAAATGAGGTTACAAGCATCATTGATCTTCCTTTACATATCAAATATTGACATTATCGAATATAGCATCATATGTAATTTGCATTCCATTCCTTATAAATTACCTACCTAACCAGTAGCTCATAACGTGTGTTTTTTTATGATATGCATTCACAATTGTGAAAGTGTTATAAAGAGTCATTTTACTATGTCTCGTATGATCCATGTACACGTACCATATATGTCTTAACCTATCCTAGAATTTAATTTCAAAACACATATATGTGACATCTCTGATGTGATAAATACACGGAACCTGCCTGATGTGATAAATACACGTAACCTGTAGGATGTGATATAAACATTTGAACTGTCTGATGTGATACAAACATTTTACCTGTCTGATGTAATAAATACACGGAACCTGCCTGATGTGATAAATACACGTAACCTGTAGGATGTGATATAAACATTTGAACTGTCTGATGTGATACAAACATGTAACCTGTCTGATGTGATAAATACACGGAACCTGCCTGATGTGATAAATACACGTAACCTGTAGGATGTGATACAAACATGTAACCTGTCTGATGTAATACAAACATGTAACTTGTCTGATGTGATAAATACACGTAACCTGTAGGATGTGATAAATACACGTAACTTGTAGGATGTGATATAAACATTTGAACTGTCTGATGTGATACAAACATGTAACCTGTCTGATGTCATACACACATATAAACTGCAGGATGTAATACAAACATGTAACCTGTCTGATGTGATAAATACACGTAATCTGTAGGATGTGATTTAAACATTTGAACTGTCTGATGTGATACAAGCATGTTACCTGTCTCACGTGATATGAGACAAACATGTACCCTGTATGATGAGACAAATACACGTACCCTGTATGATGAGACGAATACACGTAACCTGTAGGATGTGATACAAACATGTAACCTGTCTGATGTAATACAAACATGTAACTTGTCTCATGTGATAAATACACGTAACCTGTAGGATGTGATACAAACATGTAACCTATCTGATGTGATACAAACATGTGACCTCTCTGATGTCATACAAACATGTTACCTGCCTCATATCATACATACATGGAAACTGTTGGATGTGATACAAACATGTGACCTGTCTGATGTGATACAAACATGTTACCTGTCTCATATCATACATACATGGAAACTGTTGGATGTGATACAAACATGTGACCTGTCTGATGTGATACACACATGTAAACTGTAGCTGAAATCAAAATGGCAGTCAAGTCAACCATGTTTGCAAATGTGTGGAGAAGCTCAACTCGCATCATGCTCAAATTTATATGGCATTTGGGCCTGATGTCGCCAGACACGACCATGCCTATCAAGGAAGTGCAACGTGAATCGTAACTCATCTGAAAACATGACACGAGACCAGCGAAGATTACCCCAGTTTTGACGCTGTGACCACCATTGACGTCTTTTGACGATTTGTAAGGGATGGCACCAGACGTGACCGTCGAGCATGGAGATGAGCAGCATGTACACGATGTCTAATCGTTTCAAACCCGTGAAGATCCGTGTCAGAATAGGTATTTAGCAGCCAATGCCTGCCGTAAAAGGCGACTATGCGACATGTCACTGTCGTGACCCTGTGGTCAGGCTCGCTAACATGGTAAATACATGTCATCTTATCCCAATTGCGTGGTTCGCTGCTCGTTGTGTTAATCATTGGATTGTCTGGTATAGATTCGATTATTTACAGACCGACGTCATATAGCTGGAATATTGCTGAGTGCGGCGTTAAACAACAAACAAACTCATCGTTTCATCTGTTTGATTCGCTGTTTGAGCTCGATTTCGTAGAGCCTGGTTTCTGATCAGTCGATCGTCGTTGACCTGGGACGCCCTGAACGGGTTCGATCGTCAGCATTTTGGGTTTGTTGCAATTGGTACCTGTTCCACAGTTTCACAGACTGAGAAACATTGAACGTATTGACCACTGCACTCTGATCATCTGCCAGTTTCCAGCATGCCAATAGCCCGCACCGCTACTTCATACAAAAACAAAAACAATTAATGAAATAAAATAAATCACAACTGTATGACAGGCAGAACCAATAAGATTGAGACCGCCTCTGTGGTCTAGTGGATAGCGCCCGAAGGGCGGAAGGTCGTGGGTTTGATCCCCGGCCGCGTCATACCAAAAGACGTTGAAAGATGGTACTTGTTATTACCCTGCCTGGCGATCAGCATTAAGGGGCTAAAACAAGGACTCTTCGGCTCGGAGTGAGTATGCTGTGTCTGAGTGGGGTATTTCAGGGTAACTGCGGCATGGTATCTCAGTTGGCTTGCACTATAAAATCGGCATTAGTCCGGAATAGAACAAGCGCGCGCGCGCGCACACACACACACACACACACACACACACACACACACACACACGCGCGCGCGCACACGCACACGCACACGCACACGCACACGCACACGCACACGCACACACACACAAGCACGTCGCGCCGTTAAACCCAATTTCACCTCTCCTCACCTCAATAAGACTGACAGAAATAATGATCCACAGAGGTTAATCGACCTTCATTGGGAGTGTCAAAATCAGGAATGACACCCTGCGCATGTGTGTGTCGCTACTGCGTGAGAAACGTGCAACAAACTATAGGACGTTCTGGCATGGTATGTTTGTCGTCAACACCCCTTTCTGTGTTCTAATACTTCGTTTTAACATTATATTTCTTTCCCCTAACTTGATTTGAAAACCGTGTGTGGGGGTGGGGATGGGGGTGTGGGTAAGGGTGTCGGTGTGGGTGGGTGGTGGGTGAGGGTGGGTGGGTGTGTATTGTGGGGGATGTAGGGGTGGGTGCGTATGTGGGTGGGTGTGGGTGAGGGTGTGGGGGTAGGGTGTGTGTGTGTGTGTGTGTGTGTGTGTGTGTGTGTGTGTGTGTGTGTGTGTGTGTGTGTGTGTGTGTGTGTGTGTGTGTGTGTGTGTGTGTGTGTGCGTGTTTGTGTGTGTCTGTGTGTGTGTGTGCGTGCGCGCGCGCGCGTCCGTGTGTGTGTGCCTTGCCACATCCTGACTCTCCTAAGTTATTTCGTTTTCCTGATTTCATTTCAATCGGCCGTTACTCTTGGGTTTAACTTATTTAAAACGTAAATCTATTGCAGGACAGATCTACATTTCAGAATACAACGACACTTCTTTCACTCGAACTTCGCTTACTGGAACGCTATTTACTCAATATAACGGGTAAGACTTAAGACTATGTTTGCCCCGGTATAGGTCAATATCATCACTCCACTGTCCAATATCATGGATAACTCGTTATACTGTCCATTATCCCAGGACCCGGGTCTGCGAGTTGTCGCGGTATCTAAATGTACAAAGTCTTGTACTGAGGAATGAGAACTGACCAACCTACCGGCCAGTGCTCCCGTAAGCAGGATCGCCAGAACCCAAATCTTTCTGAGAAGCATTGTTCAGGCCAGTGTGAGGCTACAGGTGCATGGCTCGCGTTTGTGCAAATGAAGGTGTCGTTTGATCTGTACAGTGTTACACTGATCACAGTCGGTGATGACCAAGTTGATAGAGGCACACTTGACGTGTTGATATGTTGACATGCGTAGATAATTATGATGAAGATAAACAGGTACAAGTGTACACAATAGCGATTGAGATCTGTAAGTACCTTATTTATGGACCAAATTGTTGACATGCAAACTTTAGATATCAACGTTACGTTGTCATACTTCGAGATTGAGATCGGGTTCACGAGGTTTTGATATATGTACAAGACTACTTTCTTGTCTTACACAAAGAAAAGTGGTGGGGTATAACCTAGTGGTTTGCCCGTCACGCTAAAGGCGCAGGTTCACCCATTATATCCATCCGATCCTCATTTAAGTCGGCTCTGGGCATTGATGGTCCATTGTTATGTAAAATTCGTTGACATGTGTGATAAGATGACATAAATAGATTTTCATCACTTTGGCTTTTCCTCCATATTAAGATGAAACGCCAATTGAAATGCTAGCCAAGAGGGTATTAAACCAAACACGTTACTATGGAATCCAAGAAGGGGCATTGTCGCGTCGTAGGACTCCATGCGTTACATCACAAAGAAAGAAGAAACGTACAACTATTGTTTTGAGTGGATGATTCAATATTGTATAACATAAATGTGAGAATCGAACCTGGGTCCCAGGCGTGACAAGCCCGCCACTTAACCTTAGGCTATCATAGCGCCTTGATTAAATTGTGATAGTCACCAGCACGAAACTGGTTTCCACATGGAAGTACTATAAGTACAAGGCGAGTTGACAGAGATGGGATAGAGGCGAGCCGAGTAATTGATGACGTTGCTGATTGAGACCACGTGAATGTTGGTCCTTGGGCCAAAGACAAGATCTAGAGAACATGACGAGCCTTCAGTGTAAAAGACTTTGCATTGCACTCAGCAAGTTTAATCCCTTCCAATGTCCCTCGTCAGGCATTTGGGTTAGATTAAGTTCCTGGCAACCTTGTATGCTTGTAGTTAAGGGAGACTTAATGGATTGGTTGGTCAAGCTCAGTGACTTGGTTTATCGTGTGGCATCGTATCCCGAAGGCGCACTCTTATTTTCAATCACTTGCCTGGTTAGAGGCTACATAATAATAAAATATGTTGCTAATCCTGGTACTATAACACACAACTCCGGATACTCAGACATGGAATGAGTCACACGATTGTTTTATAATTGAATGTACATTACACCTATTTGCAAAATAAGGATACTATTGTGTGTATATATGGCATATATTTCTGATGTATACGCCAGTCGAAGCATTTTATGTCTTATAGCATGGTTGATACACATGTATGGCAGAGTGAAAATGTTTCAATTCGGGTAAGCGTGATGAGCCTTTATTACATTAAATATTACATAATTGACGCTTCAGAACATTAGCAGTAATCAAGCTAACGACGAAAGGCAATTATTGCATATTTAAACTTCATTTAAAACACGCATGTCATGGCACAATACATTAAAGCTGCAAGAGTTGTTTTTTTACAATTATAAACAAACAGTCGTTAAACAATATGGGTTTTACACAAACAACTTGTTTTCAAATAATAAGTCATATCTCTCAGTCTCAAGTTCAGTCTTAAATGTAACAGAGAATATTTGTACCCCTTAATGTCGAAACCCAGATTATCCTTAAATGTTATTTCGAAGGTGACACAGTTCTTAGTTTGCTTGTTAATACTATCTCCCTTATTGCTTAACTCCGGCTATCGAAAAAAATATTTTCTCAAAGTGTTGTCAGCAATTTACTTAAATACTTTAACCCTTGTATCTTGAACTGCAAGGCATAAGGGCATTAATGAGATAAAGTTTTACTTTCATACAGTCATAATTATTCGTGACTGACGAGAATCAATACGGAAAGGATATTGACGATAGATACATGATGCATATATATGCTTATACGTATCTTGTCGAGAACATCTCAGAACAGATGCGTATGGAATCGTACAATAGACGTCCTGATATATACACAGTAAAAAAAGTGTTGCACCCCCACATTAATACGTTTGATACATCACAACATTTAAAACGCCCGACTCTGGTTTTAATGGTAGGTATTCCTTGGGGATCTGATGTTAAATGTGTAATGTTTTCGGAGGGAAGATGATCACCAAAACGGAGCAATCAGCACGTGAATTGCATGGTGCATGACATTTGCAGATTGCAGTATCTTCTTAAGCTCAACATCGCCTATAAAAGATGTTCTCTGACAGCCCAGTTTATTGTAACCCACAATGCCGGGTAGACGATTGTCAGAAGCAGTCAAGTGGCAGATTATTGGCCTTCGTGGAGCAGGTCTTTCGTTCAAGGAGATTGGCAGAAGAACCGGACATCACTACTCAACAATAAGCCGTTTGGTCAGAAAACACGCACAAACTAATGATGTAAGGAATCGCAGACCCTCTGGCAGACCACGTAAGACCACAGTTAGAGATGACAGAGCGTTGTTGAGGGTGGTAAGGCGTCATCCATTTGCTACAAGCACAACCTTGAAACGTCTTTGGCTTCCTCGTCAACAGTTCAGTACCCAGACCGTGAGAAATCGTCTTAAAGCTGCAGGGTTGAAGTCCAGAAGGGTTATCAAGCGACCTAAACTCACAGACAACCACAAACGACTACGTCTAGCCTGGTGTAGACTGAGACAGAACTGGAACTTGAGGTCCTGGAGAAGAGTCCACTGGTCGGACGAAAGCAGGTTCCTTCTGCATGTTGTGGATGGCAGAGTGAGAGTATGGAGGCGTCCTGGAACAGCTTATACTGCAAGAAACATCATGCCAACTGTACCATATGGAGGTGGATCTGTTATGGTCTGGGGATGCTTCTCATTTGATTGTAAGCTTGATTTAGTGACCATACGAGGCAACTTGACAGGGGAGCGCTACATCCAAGAGGTGCTGAATCCAGTTGTGGTGCCCCATTTTGACAATCATCCACTGGCCACCAGACCGATATTCACGGATGACAATGCCGGACCACATCGTTCACGAGCTGTGACCCAGGTTATCCACAACAATGCTCTGACGCAGATTCCATGGCCAGCAATGAGTCCAGATCTGAATCCTCTGGAACATGTATGGGACATTTTGGGACGCCTGATTTATCGTCGGGACCCTCCTCCACAGAACTTGCGTGAATTGGAAGCAGCATTACACGAGGAGTGGCAGCAGCTGCCCATGGAGCGATTCCAACGTCTGGTGAGGAGTATGAGACGAAGACTTCAAGCTGTGATCCAAGTGCTTGGTGGAAGTTCTCGATATTGACTTACTGTGTTCGTCAAATCTCCATATGACATTCTTACCCTATTGGATGAATTTGGTCACTAAAAATTATTGAGATGTCACCATACTTAATGCGTCTTCGTTGTTCGTTCATTTTTCGTAAAAGTTCAGCATGAGATTATTACATGCCATAAGGTCATGGAATACCCCATTTAAGTTCATTGTATAGACAATACACTAGTTTGTTGGTATACACGAAATCCTGGTTATAATATTAATTCGGTTATCTTTACACCCTTTCAAAACACCCCTCCATGAAAAAGTATAGGGGGTGCAACACTTTTTTTACTGTGTATATTAGAAAACATCACTATTCTACCAGATTTCTTTTCACCAATTAAACACATTTGACATATATAACGTAACTAAATAAAAACAAGATTGTCTTGAACCAACATGAATGATTGCATAATATATGTTGTTCACATAGAACATTTGCTTTGAGCAGTAGGCGTGAAAAAAGGTTTCAGAAGCAAAGTTGATACACATCAGTTCCTTGTCCATCCACTGGTCTGAAATAGAAACATGTTTAACAGTTAAGTATCGAAACATTCTTTATAAAAAAACAATATCATATTAAATAGTCCTGAGCTGAAACCCAGGCTCAAAGCTTTATTCATGTTAGACATGGATTGTTGTGTGACTCATATGAGTAGGCCTGTCACAGGATGGCTTACACATCAACTTCGCGTCAAGCTAAAGATCAAATTATATCTATAAACTTGCTTTTAGCATCAGCAAAAATGTATCTTTTCATCGAGAGATTCTTTTTAAATAATTGTACTTATCAGGAGTCAAATAGTTGTCAGGTGTCGATAGTAGTGTTTTCTTTCAATACAATTTGGAAGTTGAATTATTGCGAGAAAACGTGCCAACCTGTGTGATTTAACAGATTAAATAGTGTTGGTATACTTAAAGTACCACCAACAGATCCTACTAATGACCAACCGTTTTTTACTCTTCTTCGCTTAACAGAATATATAGTTACCTCAAATAGATTTACATATAAGCTATATACTTACATCAAACGTTCAACGTCCATTTGTTCTATTAGACCGCCACGCCGAATACTGAAATCGAGTAAGAAATAGGTATCACCACTATTTGGCACAACAAAGGTATTAAAAGATATTGCATTCTGATACCCGTATTTTACACATTTTGAAGTTTTGATTATAACTTCTTTAATGTCCGAATGATAATACTGATGCTCAGAGTGAGAGTGTGAGTTGGCTTAACGCCACTTTAATCAATGTTTCAGTTATATCATGGCGTGTCAGATTGATGTGGGAGGATAGACCGCATTCGAAGTGATGTACGTGTCAGTTTACCACAGTGGTGAAACAGGTATGATTCTGACAAACCAAGAACCAGGATTTGAAGCCACGATCATAGACTTCTGCAGCTGGCACGCCTAAAAGACATATCTCAGTACAAAAAATTGCTGAGCCTTTGACATCTCGGCCACCACTGAGAGTTGTGATGAGGTGAATTGAAGTGCGTGGTTATTGCACTAATATAGAGATGTACATGCATGTGCGTGGTGTGTGTGTGCGCGTGTTTGTGTGTGTGTGTGAGAGAGAGAGAGAGAGAGAGAGAGAGAGAGAGAGAGAGAGAGAGAGAGAGAGAGAGTGTGTGTGTGTGTGTGTGTTTGTGTGAGTGGCTGCTTGTACTAGCCTGAACTAATGATGGTTTCATACAAATAAACCACTGAGACACCATGCCACAATTTAACATAGACCCCGACTTAGACACGGTATATGTACTCGGAGCTGACCAGTCCTTGTTTTATCCCCTTATACCGGGCGAACGAACAAGTACCATCTTTTAGCGTCTTTTAGCATGAACAGCCCGGGGATTGATCCCCCGACTTGGCAGACGCTCTATCCACTAGACTATGGAGGCTGTCCCGTCTCTTCTACAATGTATTAACATCAATGATTTTGACGTACTTTCTTGTACCATCTCTTGAGAGAAGTCCTGTCTGGGATGTATTTGCTGACCGTTGCTTTTGCATTCTGGACATACGGCTGGACATCGGGTAATCTGTCCAGAGACCGAAGGGGTATTGGCAGGCATAATTCTATCTGGATCTCTCCATGTTCTGGGTCCCAGACAGTGATTTGGGGGTTATACATTGTGAGAGCATCACGTGTGTAGTTCGTCAACTCCCGATTGACTAGGTTCGGGATTTTCTGCAGGTGCTCCTCCAGGATGGATTCGCCCTTCAAGTAACACAAACAAAACCAATTTTGCAAGATGTATACCAGTAATCATGCAACCCCATGATCCCGTTTCAGAAAGCAATCACAGCACTTCAAGTCTTTGGTAAACAATGACGGTCCCCATAGTCAAAGAACAGCGACAAACACTATTTCCATAAGAATAGAAAATTTGTGCTAAAAGATGAGAACAGTACAGTCAAAGCAACTTTAAATCTGGATTACAAAAAATTTATCATACAATAAAAATGAAATAAGGACAAGTGGAAACGAAGTATAACAAATTTGTTGTTCGTACAGAATTCGAAGGTTCCCGAACACATACAAAACATTTGTAACTGCACGAGAGTGTTAACTCACCCATGAAAAAGACTTACTTCTTGATATATATTGTTAGTGAAAGAGAACAGCATCTGTAAATCGCTTCGTTGCTCAGCATTTATCAGATGAGAACTAATCATGTCTCCCGAATTCATGAGCAAATCCTTGAAGCTGCCGTACGTCTTCACTGTGGTACTGTAGAGGCGGTCCATGTAGGGAGATATAGAATTAGATATCTCAAGCTTGCTGTCTACGATGTGTGGTAGGTCCATGATCTTGTCTACTGTCGCTAGGAATACACATACAACGTTTCGTAAATGTAATATAATATATTTACTCAAATCAGGCTTCATTGTTAATTAAAGTCAGCCTAAAACGAGAAGACAAGGTGGGGGTAGCAAATGCCAAACCAACTAGACTCGCCCCAAACTTTATGGTGTCCCTTCACTCACAGAAACCGTTTGTGGAGGATTCAAATTTCAAGGAATGTATTGTTGGGATCGTTTCGACCACTACAACTATTTCGGGTGATCGTAGAGGCTACAGATAGTGGCGGTTAGTTTGAAAAACAATCGGCCGCGCCGATTACCTCTATATTTACACCTATATCTGGCAATGTCACATCTGACCTTTTCATTTTATAGCACAGTAGGAGTTTGCCGTAACGTTCTGTTGCGCAGTGGCCTTGTGGCGCAGGGCAGGTTGTGTGACCAGCCGAGATAGCAAAAGGGGCGTAGATGTGAGATTCATAACAAATGTTACTTACATAAATGTCGCTGTTTCCTTTGAAAATATTAATATTCCTAACGCAAATATTTACTTTATTCCCAAAACATTTTTTTTTATTAATACGTTATTGTCCCTTTTCCTATGAACCAGAACTCAACATGGGTCTGTCACTTCGGTCATTCTGCACGGAGGTTCAAATCTGTTGCCTCGCTTGCCAGTTCTCAGGGTGGGAGTGGTCAAATGATGGCACGTGGTACTTGCACTTTAAGAACCACTTAAAACACCGATTTGTGAAAAATTGATATTCCAAACCTCTCACTGCGGACGTCTTGTATCTGAACAACAAAATCCTGTTTTGTTTCAAATAGAAGCCCCACATTGACAGTATTGTAATACAACTTACTGGTAGCTTTCATCTGCACAATGTTGTAGTGGTGCTGATAGATGTCCCACATGTTTTGGATCATGTCATCTAAACTTGAGATGATCTCTACAGCATCTTCAACTGTTGTGTCCACTTTCTCCTGAAAACCAAGCAAAGCACGTGTTGTGCTTCAACAAGACGAAACAGATAGGGGCATTTAAGACGATTATCTTGTAGTGTTGATAATGTGAAATTTATAGTCTTATTATATACTTCACAGTGAAAGAAGTTGAAAAAAGTTATATTTTCATTGCAGTGAACATACCACTTCATATTTCACTGCAGTGAACATAATGCTTTGACAGAACTATGTGTCATAAAAGAGCTACCTCCGCGCAAACTGTCTCCCGTTATCGTATGTGTCTGGCCCGTACACAAACTGTTGACTTTCTTTTCACGTTAGCTCCACATTGACAAGGCAAAATGACGACAGATGGTCATTTGTGGAGTTCATATAGCTTCTTGCCATTTGTTATTTTGTCTCGTAAATATTTCGTAATATACAGTAAACCTCTCATTTAACTTGTCAGTCGAGACTGGTCGTTTCCCGATGTGCCATTTTCATCACTTGGCCAGCGTGTATTCCTTCGCTTCCAACAGCGGTCTCGAAGCTTTAAAGTTGATTTTGTATTTTGATTTTGGTTTGTATTTATTTAAGATTTTCCAAACTCAGAACTACTTTTTAAGTTGCAATTACAAGGAGTGGTGAAACGTCCATGCGTGTTAGGTGGGGAGAATTTACCTGTCGGTTTTACATTTGTAGTGATAAAAAATAAATTTCCGGAAGACAACTGCACAAAATGTATAAAATAAATAGGATATTCCATGTGTCGAGTGAAATATCACATGCTTCAGGCCGTTGAAAAAATAGAAATTGCCTGCTACAAAAATAACTTTACTGCAAGGTGTTTTCCTTTAAAACAATTCAGGCTCATAGATTCAGATAGCTGAAAAAAATATCTAATCTCTTTACAAAATCCAAGCGCGTTGATATTCAAAGGTACAATTATTTTCAAATCTAGTTTCTAAAATTTACAATTTAAATTTTACAAAGGCATCAACATCAAATTAAGACACATCGCTCTTGGTATTAAACCTAACGCGGGACTCATAAGACCACATGTCCCCCTCGTGATATTGCTACAACTTAACTCCGACTGGAGTTATTTGAATTCACTTGCTTTGTGTGAGAGGAAATGTTAACTGACGTTGAAGAAACACATTTCTGCAGGATACCTTTGCAAGGACAACCCAGTCGTTCAAGAGGTGGTTATAGAACTCTTTCACGTTCCAGTTGTTGGCATGCTGTAGGTGTTCTGACATGGATCTAGTGCCTCGAAAGAATCTTCTGAAAAAGGTCTTTACAAGGTGTTTGTACATCTTCCTGCAAACGATAAAAGCATAGATTTTATTTGTTCGTCGTTGATCACCGCACTCGGCAATATTCCAGTTGTATGAATACTTTGATCGATATCATGACTTGGCCAACCGTGCCCCAAGGAAGGATGAAGAATTACATGTTCTCTGGAATTGTTTGATAGGCATTACTTAGAAGTTGAGAAGTTGATGGATGACTAAGTAGACACACTTTATGGACACCAACTTCTTTATTTATTGTTTGGTTTAGATCCTTATACCGTTTATGGTCACTGGAATTGATAATTGCTTATGTACTTACTCTGCCGCTTCAGAATCGATTAGGTAGCCCCTTATGACCAGTACAGGTTGATGGGGACCTATTCTAACCTGGAATCCATACCGGATGAAAAACATAGCTCAAGGAAGGCTGAAGAGTTACATATTCTCTGGAATTGGTAATTGCTCATATACTTACTCTGCCGATTCAGAATAGTCTCCCATGTCTGCCATGTAGAAGTCATTACGTTTGTACATGCTCCTGATATCCCTCCTGATAGAGTCCAGCTGTTTCTCTATGATAGCCATTTCTGACTCCAGTAGGTTTAGGTAGGGAAACAGTTCCTCCTTGGTTGCTTGTGTAATCCGATGGTACTTGCCTGACAATTCCTCTCCTATAGACTCGTACACAGAGTCTAAAGTGGTCTTTGCATTTTGTCCATTCCTTTCAACTATCTTAGTCAAGTAAGCCTGTTAAACACAAATCATTCTTATTGGCGAGTTTATATAGCGCCTTCACATGTATGTAACTTTCAATATGTTCACATATGTAAGCACTTTAAAACGTTCCTGAGTGTTTCATACCTGAACATCGGCGATCATCTGTGGCCTCCAGGATATCCTGGCATGGAGAAGACATGATGTGTTGAGTCTGAGGGCAACTATGTTGTCAGATACAGGATTTGAATCCTCCCGATGATAAACCTCAGCCTGTACATATCTGGAGTTCACATATCTGGCATCCCCGTGTAGACTCGTTCCAGGGTTATCTATTAGTGAGTGAGCGAATGAGCTTTATTATACATTTCACACACACACAGTTTGTTTGATATTTGCACACATATTACTGCTAGTCATATTTAAGGTCAGATGGGATATTGATATATTTTTGTAGTAGTTTCAAGTCTTTGAATGGCATTCATAAATTCTCTTCCTTTTGTGTATCTCGTCTAAATGCCATTGATAGTGTTCCTCATAATAAAGAAGTTGACATCCATAATTTCTCTTCCTTTTATGTATCACTTCAAATGCCACTCATAGTGTTCCTCATAATTAAGAAGTTGATATCCATAAAACCTCTTCCTTATGTGTATCTTTTCTATATGAAATTCAAAGACTTGATTCAGCATCAACAAGAAAATGATGTGTGTTTCTCATAATAAAGACGTTTACATCGTAGATCTTGTAGGTTTGTATCTGACAAACTCATGTTTGGTTTGGTGACTTATTTAGTAGTTGTTTTAAAAGAGAAACCACAGACTACCTAGATCAAAACGCGTTTCAAGCTCCACCGCCTTCCAAGATATCAGTCCAGTGGCTAGTGTCCTGTTGTTGATCACTATATTGAAGGGGTTCTCTCCCATTTCAACAGAGGCTTCCAACTGCTTAATTGGACACTGCATCTACAACAAACCATGCATAAGATGTAACGTGGATGAATATACCTGTAAATAAAAGCCATCATACTCTTTTCATATTAAAACGATTGTACGAGTCCGACTATATCAAGGGCTTGTGTTTATAAATCACTATCATATAGAGGTAATACCAGGTGTTCGCGAAAAGTTCGTGTATCCAGCTCCACCGGCGGCACCCGTCACAAACACACATGAAACACAATTCATTTGTTCACATGAACGGACACGGGAACTTACAAGGTACAAGTTATTCAATATCACCTTATACTAGCAATATCACGTCGTACAGCAGGAGTGTTTAAATTAGAATTTTTTCGTGGCTATTTAGTGCAGTACATCCATGTGCTTGTTTTTCGCACCCTGTATATATCAATCAACAAGTGTCAGCATTTCTTTCATCCATATCAAGATGGACCAGAAAATGGTGTACTCACTTTTAGCTTTAACATTTGCATTGCTGTGTTCAACTCTCCTTCGACAGCAAAGTTCTTTCTTTCTCTCCATGCTGTCAGGTAGGCAATATCCATTCCAGCAGATACTTTCTCACTGGAGCTACCGATGTGGGATGTAAGTTGGATGTCCATATCTGTGTGTGGGTGGCTTATGCCAAACACAAAACTGTAGTTGGTGTTACCATAGCCATAGGAAATGTCGTCCATTCGAGATGTGAGGGTGAGGGTCTTTCGGGAGTCACTGGAGTAGGACACTTGTGTTTTTCCATTGAAGACAGTCCTGCCATCATTCAGCAACATTGCCGTCTCAAGCTGGAGGTTCTGAAGATTATTAACAACAAACAGAACATCACAGAATATGTTCTTATTGAGGCTATAGAGCATTTATGTGTACTCTTTACGATGACATTTCCTCTTGATAATAAGATCAAAGCATCAATTTGAATACATTCAAAACAAACTTTATCTAGCATGTTGATTCCATATCAAATTATCAGTACATAGAATAAGTGGCATGCTTTTCTCACCTTGCCAATGGAAGGAAGTCTGAGAGAGAGATCTGCCTGGTTGTTTTTGTCATCCGGTGTGAAGATTGCTTTCATGGCAATCTTCTTTGTGTCATCTTTGTCTGCATCCCAGGAGAAGGCTCCATCCACAGTTTGGCTTGAACCTGTCTGACTGTAAGACCCATCCATTTGGAGACTTCTCAGAGGGGATCCCACTTTGAGGGAGCTATCAAACGTCTTGCTACGGTCCTTAACATTCACATCATAGAAAAGTTTGTGACCAGCCGCTTCATTCCAAATGAATTCTCCATGACTCTTTGTCTGGAGCTGTGAACTGAGGACATTTCCAATGATACCAACAGTACGGGATGGACGGATAAGCTTCAATATCAGGTCCTTGTTCAAAAGAGACTGTCTGCTTCTGTCCATCAGTTTTGCTTGGAGCTCAACGTTGCTTTCAGGATTGTTTCTGTCGCAGTTGATCACCATTACTCCATTAAGTTTTCGTAGTTTTCCAGGAATCAGAACATGTGTGAGTGATGACTCATATGTCGATTCAGATACCATAATTAAACCTTTTGCTCTCAAATTTTCTAAGACTCCTTCTTTGGAGACCACAACTGTAATGTTGCGAAAAGTATAAACATCTGAGTCAATAACTACGCTTCCATGGAATTGGTTTGTGCTGAATGTACTATAAATATTAGTAGCAATGTATTTACTCCCATTACTTTCTAACTTAAGAGCAGCCTTAAGACGTCCATCAACAATAAAGTGATGATAAATCAAAACTCGATAACCAAAACCTACCAAAGGCACCTTTGTCTCAACTTTGAGAGTAACATTTCGTATGGAGGGATTTCTAAATGAAAGGTTTACAAGATCTCGACCCTTCTTTTCTTTAGATTTGAAATATAAATTTATGTCAATAAATGAATCCAAAGCAAAATCTGAACTTAGAGTCAGTTGTTCCCCTTTACTGTTTTCGAACGTTATTTTATTCTTGAAAATCTTGTAACTCTTACAACGACCAGTAAAGAGAATGTGTTGGCTTTCATAACCAGTAATTGGAGTTATCAGTTCAGCTTTCACTGATCGGCTTTCATTTACTCGAGGAAATAACGTAAATCTAAATGTGATGACATTGTCGTCTCTGTAGCGAATGTCTAGTTCTCCAACTGAATGTTTTCTACTTTCTGTTGTGTGATCAAATGTAAACCCAATGTTTGTGAAGTTCTCAGCAGGAGTAAAAATTGTCAGATGTGTATGAAAATCATCCTTCCAGGCAAATACAAACTCAGTTCCTACTGTTTCATTATTTAGCTTGAAAGTGCTGATGGCATTAAATACTCGATTAACTTCTGTAATTTTAAAGGTTCCTTCCATAAATTCATATCCATGGAAATTGGTGTGGAAGGTCATATTCCCCTCTTTCCCGTCCTTTTTAGCGGTTGAATACAGTGTAATCACCATGTCATCAATTCTTATGTCCATTTTCCCATAGTAATATGATCCGTTTCTGAGACCACTAAATACTATTTTACTTGTTCTATATTTTTCAAATGGGGTTTTTACAAGAAGTGTTACCGATGGATCAACTGGATCTCTTTTAGTCAAGATAGAGTCTATTGTAATTTGCTTGTGGTTTCCATACATGAATGTTGTATTCCCATACACTTTGTCTCTCAAAACAAGTCCATCAAAACGATATGAAAATATTTCAAAATTTCTAAATGGTGTCGTGAGTTCTATCAAACTTACACAATACCGCCTTTTGTAACCAGAGGGTGATCTCTGTCTGGTTACATTGTTGGTCATGCTGAATGTTATATTTTTGGCATCCATGTAACGCAGTGTTGCATATACATTTCTCCAGTCTTTGTAATGTTGGTAAGATAGTCCTGTTTGACGTAAATCTTGGAATGGTGTTCTAAATTTCAGAACCACTTTCGTTCTGTCTCCTTCTTTGACACCAACAACCATACCTTCAAAGGTAGAATCTTCCAATGTGTATAAAGCACTGGTATTGAGTGTTGTTGGGGTTATTTCAAAGTTCAAAGACACCTTAAGTAGTTGCATACTCTTGTTATTCGATGTAAATAGCACTCTCATTTTATGTCCATGTTTGTAGACAATCTGCACTAAATTCGAATATCCAAACATTTTTATTTCAGTTTGGCTTTGACTGTTGTTTAAAGGACCAGTATAGGTAAACGATACTACGTTGTTTCCAGCTGTAGTCTTCAGTGTTATAGCTAGTCTAACGATTGTCAAATTTGCAAGACTGAAGCTGAACAAAGCCCTTTGGTTGAAACCATAAATGGCTTCAGCAGTCAAAGCAGCTTCAGATTTGCCAAATGAATGCTGATACTTGACAGTGTTGTTTTCATATCCTTCGAAAGGTGTTGTCATCTCACCCTCAAAATCGATGTGAGCTAGGTCGTTGTATAAGAATGAAATTGCTCCTTTTATTTGTTTCCTCTCATCATATGATATGCTTCCTTTCGTTTTAAAATCGACAATGCCTCCAACATGGTGAAGATATAATTCATACACCCTGTCACCGTTGGATGGGGATGACAATACTCCAATGGCTGACAATTCCAACCCAGTATGTGTATTTGATGGCATCTTTAACTCAGCTGCATATGTGATCTTATTTTCTTTACGTCCCGAGGAAAATGATCCAACTAAAGAAGCCTTCTTTGTCTCATAATCAAGGCTTACTTCAGCATTTAGATATTTCAATTGGTGAAGCGGTGTCTTGATTACAACAAGTGCCGTGGTCTCTTTTGCGTTTCTGGTGAACCCACACTCAACCGAAGTAGATACTGTTTCATTCTTCAAGGAACCACCTGTATGTTTCCTGTAGTTTGCTGCAAGTTCAGATCCCATTGTGTGCGAGTTTGAATTGTATTTACCTTGAATGTCGAAACTGACATCCTGAAATACAATAAGTAAATTCAGTAACTTGATTTTTGCAGGGAGCCAAATATTACTTTATGTCTAGTTTATCTCCAACACATGGTTTGACTGGCATGGAGCCAAATATTACTTTAAGTCTGGTTAATCTCCAACACATGGTTTGACTGGCATCCAAATGTGTCAACATACTCAGATCTTGGAAGTTAGATATTGCTATGAATAGAGGTATAGCACACATTTCATTTTTATAATTCATTTTTATGTAACTAAATACATTTTGATCAAATGTCATACAATACTTTCTTTAACATTAGAAAAATAAATATGACACGGGTTAGATATAAAAAGTCGTTATAAGATGAGTGGACACCCACTGATACCTGTTACACAGGGAGCTATTACAATCCATCTACACTGACAGCCTGACCAACCCTCTATTTATGGTACCCTAGCTTAAAAGAAGGGTCTGCAGGGTCATAACAGTTTCGCCGTGGACAAAAAGTCACATATATTTGAGAACAATTCTTAAGATTTGTTTCTACAATCTTGGAATATAAGAATATTTCAACATTGGAACAATTTAACGACTTTCTCATCAAGAGTTAGTGTATTTTTATCCTGTCAACTTTAACTAGCTAGCCAACTGTAATTAGGTGTTTTGAAATTTGATGCAGTCACACTGTAGAGTAGATACCACCTTATTTTAATTTTGAACCGAGCCCTTCAGGTTGCAGCCTAGCCAACGCCCAAACATCCGATATCAAACTACTGTATTTCCTCTATTTGACGCTATGCCGTCTACTAATTTCTCGAGAGTCCAATCAGAATCAAGCATTCATCAGTGTCATGGTAAAGAATGATCACTGATCAGCCATAAGTTGTCTTACCATTGGACCAATCCCAGTCTTGAGTTTGTATTTGATATTCATTGCCCTTTTGTTCAAATGATGGTCTACTGACGCAGATCCCGTGATGTGTCTGTCGGGGTTTCCAATCTTCATCCCATACTTTACTGTGACATCTGCTTTGGTATGTCTCGTGCTGTGTGAGAGGTCACTTTTCAGAAATACGTTCAGATTTGGGTGCTGTTTGTTCGTATAGCCCCTGTGTAAGAAAAAAGCATAAACGTAAAGACTTTCCTGTAACACAAATACTGTATACATGACATATTTGTTGTACCGCTATCAGCAATATTCCAGCCATTTATCTTGGTGGCCTGTAAATAACACTGTCTGAACTAGACAAATCAGTGGTTCAATTAACAAGCAACGTTCGAGGCCGTCAGGGTACGATGACAAGCCATCACCAAGTCATCACGCATGATCATTCAATCCTTTCAGATTACTGCCGCGAATCAGGCTCAGAGGCCGAGGTACATGTCTACTACCGAGAACAGACAACCGATCAAATGACGACAGATTATGAAGTTCAGCTTAAATGCGTTTGTCATAAACGTTATTGAAAATGTGTCTTACTAAACTTGGGACTTTCCCCATGAGACAGTAGGAAGGTATACCTATGCTTTCACTTACATATGGAACATATACTTCCAGCGACTTTTTGTGTTGTGATCTGCAAGCTTTGACCAGAACGTATGTTTGTTGTTCCATCCGCTATAGGTTTTGGGAAGTTTATACTCCAGGATGATGGTAGGGTTGACTGTTTTCTTCGTACCTTCCATATTGCCTGTGACCTTGGCATCCAGGAATTCAGATCTCACTATTACCTTTGCCGAGTGTTTTGTCTTTTTACCAGATATTTCGTACATATCACCTGTTAAAAACATCTAATCTTAGACTTCTGCGAACTTGTCATTAAGTATATAGAGTACGTACATATTTAGAATGTATTAATTATACATCTTGCCTTATATTTGCACTATTTTCTAAACAAAATAAACAGTTACACGTAGTATTCAGATCAACATATACAAATGCAGTTGCCTCTATTGTCAGTGCTGCTGAATATCAAAAATGAGTGACGTTGATGTATATTATGACTGTCAAGTTTTTCTGTTGGGATATGTGAAATATCAACCATATACTATGATTTGACAATAGACCATGATGCTCACATTGAAGAGTAATTGGCTTTCTTAGAAGCTTGTGAACATCCAAAGTTACTCCTCCCTGAAGTGATTTGCTCTCCTTATATTCCCATTCCCCCTTGAGTGAGACAAGCTCAAGTTTTGGGGTCTTCACCATCAGTGTAGGGATGACCTTGATGACTGACTTCTTCCTGCCACTTTTCTGGTACATCCAGCCAGCCTCGAGAACGTAGTCCTGCTTTGGTGCGAGGCTGAAGGTACCCTTTAGACTCTTCTCAATTTTAGAGTTCATCAAGGAGGCTGTACAAAGAAATTGATGTAGAAGTAACCCTCATTATCATAGTATAGTGTGTGTTCTGGTACAGATATGCTACAACTCAATAAAACATCCTTAGAGAATGTCAAGGTTAGGAACGTACTGTAAGACCTATGATTGTTTCATGTGTTCTATTATGGTAAACTGTTAGCATACTAATGAAAGGGTAGTGATTTTGAAGATTCTACTTGCATTTAAAGCTCACTGCATTCTTTGTTAACCCTTTGAGCGTTAACTCAACACTGGCTTTCTTGTTTGCTTCAACCTCTACTGTTCCACTGAGCAGGATGACCTTTGCACTTGGACGTCTGATCTCCAGTCGAGGAATATAGGTTATAGATGATCTTTTTCTCTTTATACCAACTTCACTGATGACAATATATTCTGTTGATTTATCAACAGTCAAATGTCCTTGCAAGCCAATATTTTTCTTCTCAAATGTCATTGAACCTGTGGTATAATACGTACATTATTACAATACACATAACAATCTTAATCTTTTCAAATCAATTTTGTTTCTGTAACTATCTCAAACTATAGACATGCATATCGAGGAATATCAGTGTTGTTTGTTTGTTTGTATATTTATTTCATATCGCACTCAGGTACCCATTCCAGCTATATGACGGCGGTCTGTAAATAATCAAATCTGGAGCAGACAATCCAGAGATTGACATCATGAGCATCGATCTACGCAATTGGGATACGAGTATATGTATCAAGCACGTCAACGAGCCTGACCAACCCATCCGATCAAATTCATCTTGTATGTTCATAGCACATTAACACTGAGCATTTCTCAAAATCATTGCAATACAAGTTTTTAAAATGAATAATATTATTTGTTAAAAAATCAAACTGCCTTTAAGATTTGCTTTTGTCCAAGGGGTCAATGCTTTCATCTCAAAATCTTTGGATTTCTTCTTCAAAGAAAATGATACGTCAGTGGTGCGGTCAGTTCTTGATCCAGGTGTGTTCAGGATAAACTGTACAAACGTGTTCTGCTTAGCCTGTAAACATTGAATCAAAACAGATAGTTCGGCATATCAAACATGATGGACGTTTACGTATATGCTACCTTTGAGTCCTTGGCACCCATGATTGGTTCCTAGAATCATTTTGGACATACATCATATTGATAGGCTCAAAATATGAGTCTTTGCTTTCTTGAAATCTAAACAATTGCTTGGTGTAGATCAATATTAATAGCATATAACTCAAACTTACCCCTGATTGTTTCGCCATGAGCTTGTATCCAGTGTGTGTGTCCCTCTTGTAAAGAACGAGGCTTTGGGAGAAGGGCCCTGTGAAGGGGAAGTATGGAGCATCATCCACCATGGAAGCATTAGGCCACTGGAACGCATTACAGAGCTCAAGGCCGGTAATGGTGGCAAGCCTGGCTCCTGTGCACAGTTCCAGCTTCTTCCTGTTTCCTGAGACCAAGTCTTGTTTCTTCTCCTGATCGCCATGTATGCTGAAGAACTCTGTGCTGTAGAATATGGATTGAAATATTAACCCATACGGAATGTTAAAGATTTTGTTTTGGATGGTGGATAGTTTCGTTTTCATAAATAGAAGTGACAAGACCCATATTCATTCATCTCTTCTAAATCTCTTCTGAAGAATGCCAGTGGAAATATAAATCTATGAACTGAAGAAGAAGGAGCATTTATGTAATATGTTTTGAGGTGTCTAATCTATATTTATATTTGGTTTTTTTATAAATCGCATTTAAGGAATACTGAAGATGTATTATGATAGTGTCAGGTTTTGCTCTTTACAATATAAACCTTGGCTTCAAGATATTTATGATCAGAAAACCAGTCGTCCTATGAATATGAAAATTAGATAATTAAGTATAAGAGTAAATCCGAGAAATGATATTCTGTGTACTCTGTTCAATATAATATGTTGTTCCTACCTCACATCCAGAATTTCCATTTTCTCCTGTGGAAAGTCAATGTCGGCGCTAAGAATCTTTCCTCGGTTGAGTTCAACACGCCCTTTCAAGGCAGTGCTGGAATGCCATGTGTTGACAACTCTAAGACCGGTTTTGGTGACAAAGGCATCCATACTCATAGTGCCAACAATCCTAATGGATCCACTGGAAAAGATTGTCAAAATAAATATGAAGTACAACTGTAAAAATAACTTCCCTTACTTAGGCTCGGAATTAAAAGAAATATTTCAGATATAAACGACTTACCTTGGCTTTATGATTCCATCAATGAGGAGACTGCTTGGTGAAGCCATCATGTTTCGGAAATCCACTTCCCCTGAGGCCTGAAGGTCGATGGTGCCTGTTCCATTGACGCTGAGATTTAGGGGGAGTCCGGAGCTGGTGGGGATGATCATGCTGCTGTCCAAGATCATCATACTCTGAGTGAAAGTGTAATCATGCTTCTTGGACATCTTGCTGAGGTAGTCCAGAAAGTTGAAGTTCTTGACAGAAGCGATGGGATCTACGCCTTTGAAATGACCATAGTACATTTCATTGCCAAAGAACTTCATGTATATGTCGCCTTTAATGTCAGAGGAATTGTCGGAAATCTACAATTAAGAACATATAAATAGTGAGTGAGTGAGGGAAGTAACATTTAACATCATACCAGCAATAATTTGGAATATAAAATTGAGATAAAGAGGTAAAATATAATATTTACTTCATTTTAAATATTAATTGTGTAATATATCCCTACTTACCTTTAACTTCACAATCATTATTTTCATATACATACCATTTCTTTCTTTGGTAGCCAGTCTCTGAAGAAAGTGTATTGACTGAGATATTTTTCAATCAAGTACTCCACACCTTCCATACGTCCACCCAGCTCAAAGAGATTGAGAGAGTTGCCAAAGAGATCTACTGTCATGTTGAACACTGCAGAACGAGGAATGACGGACTTATCTGAAAAGATGACATTACTCTCGAGCATGGCACCAACGTTGAACTTATCTATGAAGATGGAACCTTCATAGTTGCGTGAATGTTTCAGTCTTGAGAGGTCGCAATTCATTCCAAGGGTTTTGTCCTGCAGAATTCGCCTGATGGTCTGTTTCTGTGGACTGGATGTTTCCATCAGGTTGGTCAGATGAGACCAGACAAAGGACCCAACTTCATTCGCTATCTCAGACTCGAGAGTTCTTTGAATACTGCAGAGGGCGTCTTCAGATGGACACTGCATGACAGCCAAGTAGGCAGCAATTCTCAGCTCGGAGTCCTCATCAGAATCTTGGTAGATGGTCATTACTTCACTTCTCTGAAATGAAAAACATGTTGTGACATTATGGTGTTATTGAATAATGACATTTAAATGTAACAAATATCATAGTCGAGGGTTTGGTATACATTTCCATAACTTACATCGGCAGTACATGGTAGTCTTCTGTAGGCTTGGATGGCAGCTACTCGGACCTCCATTGGGTTGGCTTGTCTGTTAAAGCAGCTGCCAAGCGTAGTGGTCAGTCTGTCCACATGGCCTGCATTTCCGAGAGCACGAAGTGCCACAAGACTAGTCTCCAGATTAGAATCTCTGATGTAGCAGCCATAACCAATGGTCTTCTCCATTGTAGAGATGATATGTGTGATAGTGGATTCCTCAGAACACGCTTCATGATGGTTGCAATAGTTGTTGACCATAGTGGAGATAGGAAGCATGGCCACCTTGCTGTACTGTGGTGTGCCAAGAAGTGCCTACAAATAAATAGATTCAGAGTTGACATTAGATTCATAAAATGGTCAGTACTTTCGGGGAGAAAGATTACCATTATTATATTTTCTGTGATGTGACTATGAGCTCACTTTTACGTCCTGCAACATCTTCAGTGTTGGGTAGTGTATGAGAGACAGGGATGTGATCCACATGGTTGCCTGTGCACCAGTGACTTCTCTTTTCAGCAGAATGTCTTTTAAGAATGCAACAGATGCACTTGTGCTGGCCATCGGTATTGAGTCCAGGAAGATACTCCTGGAAACAATCAAGAATGAAGGTTATACAACAGGAAGAAGGCTTAGTGGTTACAACGAACCCACCCCCAAAGGAGTGGTATGAGGATGAGCACAGAGGACTATGGATATTCCACAACCTCATTCTACAGGTATTTTATTATTTGTTGATTAGGATAAAATATCAAATATATTAAAGTTGTGTAGAGCAAACAATAAAGGTCCCTTTAATGTTGTGACATAAAAGCCATGGGGAGTACAAACTTGACTCTCTCGCTGTTTTCAGTGCAGATAACCCCAGATTTAACTTGCTGGTAGACACTTCTCATGTCATCACCATGCAGGTTTTTGATGATGTAGACAAGCTCAGAGAATAAGCGTGCGGTGTCGGGGCGGATATCCTCGCGTGTATTCTGACAGATCTCTCGCAGTTTACTCTCAACATCTCTCATTGGTTGGTCTTTGTTTCCTTGGCCAAAGGCATGTTCAAACACAACTTCTGCCCGATTCCTTATGTAATCTAGAACATTAAGTATGTACGAGCATGAGGAACATTTATGAAACATGATAATTGTTCTATATACTAGTATGTTAACTATTGCTTATATAATTGTCACATAATTGTCACAACTACTTTGCCTACTACACCCAATGGAATCTGTTTCAGCAGAAAATCGAGATAATGAACAGATTATTCCCAAGCGTTGACGTTTTGTGTTCATGAATTGTTTCCTCTGCAGAGCTAAAACCAGAAGAGCGATCACCTTGTCTTGTGGTAACACCAGATCTCTGAGTCTTGTAGTTAAGTTTCTGAAGGACTTTGGTGGTGGCACCGCTGGTGGCCCTGGAGAAAGGTCTGAATGTGTGGGTCTCCCGGATGAGCGCACTCTTGAGGAGTCCATTCTTGTCCAGTTCCTGTTCACATTCGTGTGTACTCTTCATGAGGGGCAGAGACTGGATCTCTGAAGGAACTCTGTACTGCATGCCATGGATGGAACTGTGATAACCATTACGATCAGTGCAACCAAGGAGATCTTTTGTTTTTTTTATTGTGGTAGAAAACCAGCCTCGAATCACTTTGTAGTCGGTATGACATTCACCCGTGACATCACGCTGTAAACACGTAAGTCTTTATTAAGGATGTACTATATATGATTAATTACTTGATGTACTGCATGTGGTACATAAGTTAAAATATCAAGAATTCACGCTGACACTATGGATAGTTGTCAAATAATGCCGTAAAATGACAAAATAATGATAACCACCACCTTTAAATCACGCCCCGTTGTTATCATCATCATGTTATCTTCATCATCAACCGCCCTTAATACAATCATCTTAATCAAGGAATGTGGACGCACTCGTTCTTGACTTTATTCTGAGAAACACCACCACAAACACTATTTTTTTAAATACTACATATTTGTTCAACCACACCACATTTTCATTTCATTGACATATTTACTTCAAAGACGCTCTGATCTCCATCCAGGTTATCCATACTGTTCTGGACAGCAGTGAGAAGACCTCTCTTGATGTTGAGAACCCACGTGGTTTCACCCTCAGCTGGACACAGCTCCTCTACCACGCCATCTTGGAAAGAGAATCGAAGTGGAGATCGTTCCAGATTCCTCTTGAATTCCCCAGTTTCGTCAACATTTTCCATTGGGTTAGAGGAGGTGTCAGATCGGTACACTTTGACATCGCGGAGCTGCGGAATGGACATGCAAAAATGTTAAGTCATCAATGGTTTGAACTCTTGTATGATGTGTTTTATGTTGTTATGTATATTTGTTATGTACAATTTACTTACCCTAAGAGCCATTTCGCATTTCGACAGCACCTCGATGTCAGCAGTTGCCCGGAAACCAAGACACGCTCGATCGCTTGTAGCTCCCTCCATGGACGTCTGCGTTTGAACGTTGTAATCGAACACATACGTCGTCCCGGGAACGTATTTGAATTTGGATGTATCTGGCGATAGATAAAGCTGCTGCAACTATTTTCTTTAACTAAATGAATATGTACATCTGATGGATGCTTAAAGAGCACAGATGGCCCTGTTCTCTATCTCACCTTTGTGTCCGGTGTTTTCGTGTTCGCATCTCGAGTTTTCGGATCCATTTTGAACTGAGACGTTATATTTCAGGGAACGAACACTATAAAACTGGCATTAGTCTGGACGAGGACAAGCAGCTACACAAACGTATGCATGCAGGCTGCTAAATAAGTGAAATAATCTTGAACTCGTCGTTAAACCCTTTTTCACCCCATCAGCGAGTTTCTTTTGGTAGAGTCTATATTTCCTAAGTTTAACTATTAATTACCCAACATTTTATTTGTGTTTATCAATTCCTTCTTAGTGTTCTAATTTATGAGGCAAAGCTGGTCCTTTTACGCAAAAAGAATACCACGTCAACTCACCTGTGCATATTCTGGCACATTTCCCGAATCCTTTTGCTCGCTGATTGTTGATCAGACCTTTAAACAAACATGACAAACTTTCATTTTACTCCAAACGTATTTTAGCAAGCAATTGCATTTTGGTATCAGACAGGTAACTATTTGCTATGAAAAATGTACAAGTGATTGTTCAGAATATAGAAGTAACTTTTAAGTACATGTAATTGTTCAGACAGGTACAACTATGCTGACACACTGAAAAGTTGTGTTAGGTTTAATGTAATATTTGTGAATATGCTCACAAAAGTCAAACAAGGTTGTTCTGGGTATTTAGACATGAGATAATCAAACACACCATTGTGGTCGTACAGGTTCACATCTCATTCGACGTGTTTGGCGATGGACTTGAGCACAAAACCTCGTCATTTCTGATTTCGAATTTAATTTGATTGTGCGTTTTCAGAGTGCTACAGTGTATATTATTTTTAGCATGGTTATAGACAAAATATATGGTGTGGTTGGTGTGCGAGAGGGGTGGTAATGGGTGGCGTCAAATCATCTAAAAGAAGTAAATTAACAAATGAGTATACAATGAAATCATGTTGTATCAAACACGTGTTCGAAGAAAGGCATATACTGCATGTGAGTCTCCAAATGGCAACTTGAGGGAGTCTGGCCCACTCTTCTTGAAGCGCCTGGCCAAGTTCAGCCAGCGTGGTGGACGGCCTATGATCTTAACGCACACATCTCCTTATCATGTTGTGCTGCTTTGAGCTGCTGCGGAGAATTGGCGATTCATGCACGGTTAGAACAAAGGGTGTCAGTATGTTGTCTCGATAGTACTGTCCAGTGACCCTTCCTTGCACAATATTGAGTGGGTGATGCGACGCCACACCATAACCGATCCACCGCCAAATCTGTCATGAGGTCTCAAGTTGACATTGGCTTGGCGTTCATTTCGACGTCGTCAGACACGACCACGCCTCATCTGAAAACATGACACGTGACCAGCGACGATTACCCCAGTTTTGATGTTGTGTACACCATTGACGTCTGTTGGCAGTTTGGCGATTTGAAAGGGCGGCACAATACATGACCGTCGAGATGAGCTGCATGTGCACGATTTCTAATCGTTTGAAACCCGTGAAGATCGGGGCTAGAATATGTATTCAACAACCCAAGCTTGCCGTAAAAGGCGACTATGCTTGTCTTAAGACGCGCCTAACAGGATCGGGTGGTCAGGCTCGCTTACTTGGTTGATGCATGTTATCGTATCACAATTTCGTGGATCGATGTCAATCACTGGATTCTTTGGTCCAGACTCGATATATACTGGAATATTGCATGGTGCGGCTTTAAAAATCAAACAAACAACCAAACAACCAAACTAATCGATTGACCGATAACTCCTACTACAGTAGCCTGATGAAAGTGTGCAGCAATTTCATGCGCAGTTTGGGCTCGATTTCGTAGCCCAGTTTCAAGCATGCCAACAGTTCATACACAAACAATTAATGAAATGATAAAAAATCAAAAATTTGTGATAGGCAGGATCAATAAGATTGAGACCGCCTCCATGGTCTTGTGGATAGAGCATGTGCCCGGAAGGCGGATGGTCGGGGGTCCGATCAACGGCCGCGCCATATCAAAAGACCTTAAAGGGTGACACTTGTTGTTACCCTGCCTGGCGCTCGGCATTAATGGGCTAAAACGAGGACTGATCGGCTCTCGGGGTGAGTACACTTTGTCTGAGTGAGTGAGTGAGTGTGTGAGTGAGTGAGTGAGTATGGTTTTACGCCGCTTTTAGCAATATTCCAGCAAAATCACGGCGGGGGACACCAGAAATGGGCTTCATACATTGTACCCATGTCGGGAATCGAACCTGGGTCTTCGGCGTGACGAGCGAACGCTTTAACCACTAGGCTACCCGACCGCCCCTTTGTCTGAGTGGGGTATTCATGTTAAACTGCTGCATTGTATATCAGTGGACCAGCACTATAAAATCGGCATTAGCCCGGACAAGTACAAGCAGCCTTACAAACACACACACACATGCACGCACGCACGCACGCACGCACGCGTACATGCACATCGCTTTATAAGTGCAATATATTGAACGTGAAGTTAAACCCAATTTCACCTCTCCTTACCTCAATAAGATGAACAGAAATAATGGTCAACGGATATGAATCGACCTTCCTTGGAGGTGTCAAAATCAGAAATGACATCCTGCGCACGTGCTTGGCGCAACTGCGTGAGACACGTGCAAACTTGTGTGTGTTGTTTGGTCATAAGGTTTAAGGACATAAACGTTCTTGCATGGGATGGTTGTCGTCCACACTTATCTGTTTTCCAATACTTGGCAAATATATATCCGAACATATATATTCACCTTCCCCATCACACTACCCGCTACTGTATTTCGTATAAAATACCTGATAACATTTTAATCGGCCATTATTCTTATTTCTTATTTTCGTATAACTTATTTCAAACGTAAATCTATTTCAACAAACAACGACACTTTGTTAACTCGAACTTTGTTTACTCTAACTTCACTTACTCAATATATCGAGTATGATTGCCCCGCTATAGGTCTATTTCATCACTCCACTGTCATATATTATAAATATGCTGTCCATTATCTACGCGTTGTCGCGTACTGAGGAATGAGAACTGAAAACCTACCGGCCAGTGCTCCCGTAAGCAGGATCGCCAGAACGCAAATCTTTCTGAAAAGCATTGCTCAGGCAAGTATGACGCTACAGATGCATGTCTCGCTTTTGTACGAATGAAGGTGTTTGTTGCGCACAGTGTACACTGATCACAGTCAGTGATGACACAGTTGATAGAGGAACACTTGACGTGTTGATATGTTGACATGCGTAGATAAATATGATCAAGATAAGCAGGTACAAACGCACAGAATAGCGATTCCAATCTCTAAGTACGTTGTTTATGGACCAAGTTGTACAGATTGCCCTATTTACTGTTTGACAAACATGAGATAATCAACGTTACGTTGTCATATATCGAAATCGAGGTTTATATAATTTATAAAACTTCTTTTTTGTCCTACACAAAGAAAAGTGTAGGGGTAACCTAGTGGTTTGCCCGTCACGCCAAATCCCGGGTTCGATTCCCCATGTGGCTTAAATGTATGAAGCCCTTTTCTGTTGTCTTCCGCCGTGACATAGTTGGATTTTTGCCAAAAGTGGCTTAATGCCATACTCACTCTCTCAGTCTTCCATATTCAAGGAAAGAAAACGAAAAATAGTCGATCAAGTTAATATTAACTTTCTACAGTACAAATCGTTGCTGAAAACACAATCGACTTATCGAGATGGAGATACAAACTGACGTAACAATTTTAAGATTAGTTCTCGCAATATGTAGTGGGGTCCCTATTTTGACCTGTACCACAGGTTTCCGTGTGTGTTTTATCAGGTGACCAATTAAGATATCTTTGCATGTCTTGTCTTTGCAAGAAACGCCCCCGTTTCAGCGAAGACCTGGCCATCACTACTCTACTTTCATAAACACAAGCTCATGATAAGGTCGGAATCGTACTATCGAAAAGCAGAGATTTCTTATGAAAGTGGGGCGGCCGGGTTAAAGGCGTTCGCTCGTCACGCCTCAGTGACAGCATCAAGGTTACAGCAACACAAGATAACGTATCCGTGTCCATTCCATGTCATTCCATGGCAGTCAACAGGATAACATTGTTGATAGGGTCACACATTATATCAATCCGATCCCCATTTCAGTCAGTTCTGGGCATTGATGTTTTATTCTTAATGTAATATTCGTTGACATGTGTGACAAGATGACATAAATAGATGCTGAAGGACCATACTTGTAGAAAAAAAGATTTACCTACTTTCATCCATTTCATCAGTCCTTTCATTTTGAATAAAGGGTCAAAACACTGCAGGCCGAACAAATACATTCTTCACCTTAATTACCGTTATAAATATCAAATCGAGTTCTCAAATATTGTTAGTACTGACAGAAGGTGAGGTGAAATGGGGTTGAACATCGCCTCCAAGATTATTGCACTAAAATGCGACGTGAATGTGTGCGTGTGCGTGTGCGTGTGCCTTTGCATGTGTGGCTGCTTGCACTAGTTCTTCGGAAATATACAATATGTAGAATCCATGCCGCCGTTTGACTTGGATACCATACTCAAACACATATACTGACTCCGAGTCGACCAATCCTTGTTTTCCCCTAAATGACGAACGCCAGGCAGGCTAACAATATTACCAACTTTTAACATCTTTTTGTATGACGCAACCACCGACCTTCACTCTCCGCTCTTGCCACTACACCACCGCGGCGGTCATTACTGACAAAATATGATAAGTACACACAACAAACGAAACTGTAGAATTCATGATTCTATCCACACCGGGATTGTAATAGTTAGGCACATCATAATGATGTTTAATTCTATCAAATATGTAACATTGTAAACAAAACTAATGTTCTCTATTTGTATTGGAAGTACATGTACGTCTACGTTTACGAAATGTGTTTCAGTTAATTCGAAAGGGGAAATGCTTCAAGCACTAATCTCCATTCAGCTTTTTTCCGATAGTGTAACCGGTTTACCCCAAGATTCTGTTGTATGAAGTTCTTATAACATGACGGTTGTGTTGTTTGACGCGTTGAATTCGTTAGGAATACATGTTGGTTTATTGGTAAAACCAAGGGGGACTTTTGTGTCGGTCGTCGTCAATCAGCTGAGCAGAGTTGCGACGGGATTTCTTTCCAGGATGCGATGATCTGGATTCGCCAACTGATAATGACCCGAGGTTTGTTAGCACCATTCCCGCAATCGTGGGTTTCACCAAAGTGGTAAATCTCTAAGATTTTCATCACTTTGGTTTTTCGTCCACAAGATGAAACGCCAATTGAAACTATGGAATCCAAGAAGGGACATTGTCGCGTTATCGCATGGTTGCGCTTTGAAAAATATGTTTGACCTTTACCAAAGGGCTCAACGCGACGATGTCCCTTGAAGGATTCCATACGTTACAGATCAAAGGAAATAGAAACACGTTCAACGTTTACCTCAGGGTCCCTGTCGTCACAAGATTATGTTTTGAGTGAATAAGTAAATCTTGTGGGAATAAAACCTGGGCCTCAAACATGACCAGCCAGACCACTTAAACATCAGGCTATCACATACCCTTGATTAAGTTACATCATGTGATAGTTACAAACACGAAACTAGTTTCCATATGGAAGTACTATAAGTACTGGCAGAGATGACAGAGATGGGATAAAGGGGAGCTGAGTAATTGATGACGCTGCTGATGGAGGCATTGAGCAAAAGATAAGAAACAGAACAAATGACACGTCTTCAATCTGGAACACGTTGCATTGCACTCAGCAAGTTTAATCCATTTTACGACATACTGTATGTCACGCTAATCCATTTTACGACATACTGTATGTCGCGATGATCACCGTACCAAACTTGTCTGTTCTGCAATGTTCCTCGTCAGGCATTCGGGTAAGGGTAAATTCCTGGTAACCTAGTATGTTTGTGGTAAAGGGCGACTTAATGGATCGGTTCGTCAAGCTTAGTGACTTGGATTATTGTCACGCTCATTATATTAATCACTTGTTTGGTTAAAGTCTAGGCTTTATTTTTTTTAGGTTGACCGTGGCTCTAATATAACTGATAATCCGGGCGAATCCGACATTTGAACCCACGATCTTTGCTTTCTAGGACGCCAAAGGGACACAACTCTGCACAGTGAATTGCGGTGTTGTAGACGACTGGGCAACCCGTTCACCCTGAAATGTCTCTGAATTCACGAACCTCGAGACGTGGGCGTATAATGTCAGTCCTTCTGTAGTTTCTTTATTGAGTAAATATGCACACCGACATCGAGACTGGCATATACATACATTTACAAGGCTAAATGATAATATAACATGTTACTAATCCTGGTACTACAACACACATCTGCTCAAACTCAGACATGGAATGGGTCACAAGATGTTTTACAATTGAATATACATAACACCTATTTGCAAAATAAAGCTACTATTGTGTGTGTGTATGTATGACATTTATTCGTGATGCTTACTTCAGTCGAAGCATTTTAAGTATAATGGCATGGTTGATACACGGTTTGTGGTGAAGTGTAAATGTGAGGTCTTTAAAACAAATGCGCAAATTTTATTAAGTGTGATGAGCCTTTATTACATTAAATATTACATATTGATGCTTTTGAATATTGGCAGTAAACAAGCTACAGACGAAAAGCAATTATTGCATATTTGAGCTTCATTTAAAACATGCATGTCGTGGCACAATACATTTCCTTGTTTACAATTATTAACTATGAGTCTTTCTGAATTAAACAATATGAGTTTTACACACACTTCTATTCAAATAATAAGTCATATGGCTCAGTCTCAACTTCGTGTTTATTTTAACTTCATTGAATATTGAAACCCCGATTCTTTTTGGTATTATGTTAATATCAAAGGTAACTTTTAGTCTTAAATCTTGTTATAGAAAGGTATTATCTCAAAGAGTTATCAACAGTTTACTTGACTATCTTCACCCTTTTATCTTGAATTACTCTTAATATCAAAATGTTTCATTAATCCAACGAACTGCAAGGCATCAGGTGATTATTGAGATAATGTTTCTCTTAATTGCACATCAGTTCCTTGTCCATCCACTGGTCTGAAATAGAAACATGTTTAACAGTTAAATCTCGAACCTACTTTATAAAAACACATGTCTCATTAAATAATCCTCAGCTGAAACGAAAGGGTTCAACGATTTATTAATTTTAAACAGGGATTGTTGTGTGACTCATATGAGAAGGCCTCTGTCACAAGATGGCTTACACATCAACTTCGCGTCAAGCTAAATTATCTCTACAAACTTGCTCTTGGCATCAGCAAAAATGTCTCTTTTCATCGAGAGGTTCTTTTTAAAAAAATGTACTTATCAGGTGTCAAATGGTTGTCAGGTGTCATTGGAATTATTTTCAATACATTTTAGTAGTTGAAATAATTGAGAGAAAACGTGCCCACCTGTTGAATTAACAGCATCATTGTTCGCATACTGTAAAAAATACCACCGACAGATCCTACTGATGACCAACTTCTGTATTTGAATCTTCTTCGCTTAACAGAATGGATAGTGACCTCAAATACATTTGCATATAAGCTATATACTCACATCAAACGTTCAACGTCCATTTGTTCTATTAGACCGCCACGCCGAATACTGAAATCGAGTAACAAATAGGTGTCACCACTATTTGGCACAACAAAGGTATTGAAATAACACTGCATCTAGATACCCGTATCTTTCAAGGTTTGGAGCTTTGATCTTCTTTAATGTCCGAATGATAATATGGATTCTCACTTGAGTAAGTGAGTGAGTGACTAAAGTTGGCTTAACGCCACTTTGAACAGTGTTTCAGTTATATCACAGCGTGTCAGATTGATGTGGGAGGATTGCCAGCATTCGAAGTGATGTACATGTCAGTTTACCACAGTGATGAAACAGGTATGATGCTGACAAACCAAGAACCAGGATTTGGAGCCACGATCATAGGTTTCTGCAGCTGGCACGCCTGAAGGACATATCTCAGTACAAAGAATTGCTGCGCCTTTGACATCTCGGCCACCACTCAGAGTTCTGATGAGGTGAAATGAAGTGCGTGGTTATTGCACTAATATAGAGATGTACATGCATGTGCGTGATGTGTGTGTGACAGTATACGTTCTCCGAGGCGCCAAGTCCTTGTTTTGTCCCCTTAATACCGAGCTACAGACATTGT